GCAAGCTCAGCAGTACCTGCTGCTGCTGCTGCTTCTTCAGGATATTCCGCAGAGCGTTGAGGGGTTATGGGGGTGAGGTCGCGGGGTTGTCCCTGGGGGGGGGGGGTCGGGGTGCAAACTCTGAAATGAGCCCCTCAACATCCCATGCTTCCCAAGTGCAATGGAGCAGCACACGTGCGAATATTTGCTCCACACTGGAATTTGTGCAAGATAAGTTCGGCACGTTCAAAACTTTGTAACTCGATGTTTGTGGGGTCACGCAAGGGCACTGCCTGACCCAGCTCTGAATTCCGCCAAATACACGTCTGTGTCGGTTTATGCACCGCAGAGAAGACCTCGCCACGCCTAGAGACCAGGCCTTATCAACATGTGCCAGAATCTGGATAAACATACCACTGTTGTGGGCAGGGCATGAGAAGACCTGTGTAACACAGGTAACGCGACTTTTACTGATAATGCTGTGGTACGCGTGTCAAATGCGTGACATGTCAATGCTGGAAGTGCTCATACGATTTGCCCGGTCCTGTAGTCGCAACGGCAACACCGTTTTGCGGTCGGAACGAGTGAACCGAACGTAAATGGTCTGCGTCACGGGTGAACCGCTCACCATCCGGTCCACCTGCGGGGGACACCGCTCATCCCGTTGTAACAGGCTAAAATAACCCCTGCCCAGATTAAACCCGGGTATAGTTTGGCCCAGGCGAGAGCATACCCGGGGGATAAAGTGTCCTAGGCTAAACTAGACCCCCCGGGGGTTTAAACTCGACTGGGCCAGACCATACCCCTCCAGGCCAGAACATGCCCCATGTGAAAGTTCAAACGAACTTCAATCGATATCTAAAAAGCGTATAAATGGAAGAATCTCAATTTGATCAATTGAAGCATTTTTAGGGTTAGGGATAGGGTTAAGGTAAGGGATAGGGTTATTATTAAAGTTTTTCTGGTTGAAGCAATCAAAGTCTATGTGTTTACAGTTTTAAATAAAATGTTGGAAAAAAATTGTAATTCATGTGTATATCGCTCAACACTATTACCATCATTGGGGTATGATTTGGCCTAGAGGGGTATAATTTGGCCTAGGCCATAATATACCCAGGTATGATCTAGCCTAGGCCGTTTACACCCCGGGTAGGCCTGGGGGTATACTACGGCCTGTTACACCGGCACGAGCTGCTGCTCCAGCTCGACGAATGAAGACTCGAGACAGCGAGGACTGTGACTCCAGAAACAAAGCGTTCTCTAAAGTGGGTTTTATTAACGGAGTTTTGTAATCGAGCACAAAAGCTGCGTGGAGTTAAACAGCGCTGCAGATACATTCAGCTGCGATGAAAGGCACAGAAGGCAGAATGCTTGCCCGGTGCGGGCGCGGGGAAAGGTGTTGTTGGGTATCTGAGACAGTGGTCTGGATAAGGCTGCAGCAGCATCCCCACTCCGACTTGCATCACAACCCAGCGTTGAATGGAAACCCAATGGAAAAATAAAAACTAACTAAAATGGAGCAGATTACCACCATCACAACATGTCTACCTTCCACAATAAATTACAATAAATTAGGTAAAATAACTTACAACACCAGCACAATGGAACATAAGTACTATAGTATATCAAGTATACTTTAAATCGTAACTAAATTCTAATCATTTGACGATCTGCTGATGGAATAAATATCAACAAAACCAACTCATGACACTTAATTTAAATAATTCTTAACTCAAACACTGGCAGGTAGAGAGACCTTGCACTCCCTTGCATATTCGTACAGCTGGATGTGGCGGAGCATCTATCCAACACGGACCGAGTCCCTGCCTCTGTCGCGGGAGGCAACGTTTGAACCGAAGCCGTGCCCTCAAACACAATGCCGCCAATGTTGAATGGTAGCGACAGGCATAGGGTGAAGGTGTTCCCCCGTTTGGAGAAAAGGTAGGCTTGAATTTCCAAAACGTGGGGGCTATCGGTGCCTCTCTCGCTGCCAGCTGCAGAACCACGAGGCACTGTCGTTTGTGAACCCAGTTTCTGGACATTGATCCAGGAGCATCCGTGCCCATGCTCAGCGTCTTCCACGCCCACTGCGCCACCGGCCAGAGCCCTATCACTGCCACTTGCACGCATTTCTGGAGCTACGACAGCTACGATGCCACCCGTTTCTTTACCCTCGTGGTCTCGTTCACCTGCGCAAGGAGAAACCAAGGCTCGAAAGTCACGTGTTAAAGTCGCAGCATTCCAGGCGTGCATGACGGAGGCACAGTCCCACAGCCGACAGCTGGTAGGTGCGAAATTACCAAAACCAGTGGCATAACTGTTAAGTCAGTCAGTGTTGTCATAACCGCAGCAATATTGAAGAAAATTATCCCATTGCTTATTGTTGAGCCAGGAATGTTATTCCAATGCCAAACAAGTGGAACTTGCCTTCACGCAAACAAGTGCTGCGTGGGGCATGCCCACCTTGTCCCCCACAGCACACTGCACACAGCTGGAATTTAAACTCCCCGGCTTTGGACTCTGTAGTTTAAACTCTTGTCGGCAAGCCTGGGTTGAAACGCAAGTGAGCAACTTTCTTGGCAACACGCGCAATGTCTCCAAGCCTACCGAGTACGTATTATGTATCAGTCATCGTTTTATTACAAAATAAAAATTGCTCTGTGAATATCAAATGTCTCAAGTGTCTTAAAAGCATTTCGAATGGGGGGGGAAACGACTTTTGTTGTTGATCCATTACAGTGAGCACAGGATGCTCAGTTCCCCCTGCTTGCTGCTGAACCCCTGCCCACCCCCAGTCCCGTGCTCCTCCTGAATTACAGAGTCCCTACTGACTGCCAAAAGCACTGCACACGCCACCATTATCCAGCAACGGATCTGCCGACTCGATTGCCCCGTTCACAGCGACGCAATGCAGAGCCCACGAGGCCACCATGGCGCCTAACCACGGGCCCTTTGGAGCAGTTCTTTTTTAAAAAGTCGATAACTCTACACTTCATTTGAATTGTGAAACTCTGGTCACACGTAAAAATATAACAAAACTGCGTGTAGTCTGCGCCGACGCAACATCGACACCTGCTTGGGCCAGTGGCGCTAGGCGGAAGTCTCACTTCAATGCCTCTCATCCTGAAGAGACCAAACAAAGGCTCCTCGAAATGCAGAGCCCACAGTGCCTTCACCACGTCTCCGAGTCAACATGTTAAGTGTGCGGCAACATACACAGAGCGGTGCACACATATTTATGCCATAGTTCAGTCTTTTCATAATTGTTGATATATGGTATCAGACCACTTTCGTGATAACTCAGTGCGTGCGTTCAGTAGTAGATAATCTAGACACCACATTTTCCTGATATTGGTATAAAACATTCTAAACTCCCACGCATAAATTACGTACCCGATTAGCATCCGTCTCTTTGCCCCATCACAAAGGACAGCAGAACAAAGCAGGACATACTGCCAATGACGGCAAAATTATTAAATGAGCACACGAATATCGCCACAGTGCTGGCTTTACCGTGTGTGTTGTCCTGAGAATCAAACAGAAATCTTCTTGCAAAAAAGTTAGCTCCCACGAGGCGCATTCATGGTTTCAGTGGACTTGGCTTTCATGGCTAATATGTTGAAAGCACATGGGGAAACACTGGAACGTTGAGCCAGAGGCCATGGCTCACATCCAAACCTGTCCCCCTTCGTGAAAACCATGGTCACATTTCTCATGTACATTAATTTTCCATATCCTGGCTTCGTACTTATGTAACAATGAAGGCTGCACTTGTGCACATAATGGACCATTCAGACCATCCCTGTCCAGGCTCCAGCAACGGGGCTGGTGAAATTTCACACCGGTGAGGATGGGCAGCGGCCTGAGAGGGGGAATGTGTGAACGGCCAAGTGCTGCGGCAGTTCTCTGCACGCACATCGACGAGTGGAGCCAAGCTGCACGGCCCGGGGGACACAGGGCAGCAAGAGGCTCGTGGCCGGAGCTCCCTGCACGCAATCGATTCAAAACCATCTCATGAGGAAATGCTTGTTCCTTTTCTGGATCTGCCAAATGCTCACCGTTGCGCCCTCGCTACAGCTGACAATTGCTCACTGCCGCCCACTGTGCGAGCACCGGTGGAGGGTGTTGAGAACCCAGCCCCGAGTTTCAGAGCCATCCCCTCCTCAACCTCTGCCATGGGCTCGTCTGCTGCCTGTCGGTCACCAGACGAGTACGAGACCACGTACGCTTATACGCACGGATCCCGATTCTCATCGTGCGTGCAACAGATGAGAAACATACATTTCTCAGGTAATCATTCACAACGCACGGGTCTTTAACAGCCACTCTCAAGTGTTATTGCTGTCTAGCAGGGTCACCGTTTCACCATGGTTGGGAGTCTCAAAGCCAGGCGAGAGACTTATACAATGAGGAATGAGGTCTCACACAAGACACTAGAAATGGGCAGGGGGTGGCCTGCGCCCCCTTCTATGAGGCTCACAGCTCCACGTGCAGCACTCAAGTTCTTGCTTAGAACGGTTTTTCTTTAGTATGTCAATCACATTCACTTTGAGGGGCCCCGTGCAATGACTTAAAAACGTAATGATAAAAAAGTGTAATTTTCTTCCTACTCCACCCCCTAACCCGGCCCCAAAATTTCAATGGCACTTTAAAGTCATTGAAGGACTCAGGGAATTGGTATCCAGGGTTCTCAGCCTGATCTGCCTCTGGGATGAAGCAATATAAAAAGTACATACACAGTTCTTAGCCTAATTATAATAAGCATGTATTATTTAAGCTCAATCTCAGAAACTACTCATCAAAACAAAAGGGATTTGGATGGATTTGTTTTGAAGCTGCAGATGGCGTTTGAAGCATTTATCCTCCCCATGTCGCTACAGACGAACTCTCAAGGGATGCCCTGCCCCTCCCCGTAATTCACAGTCCCTCCCCTTCACTGCCCATCCCCTCCCGTCGCTGCCCAGTCCCTGTTCGTGCTGCCCAGCTTCCTCCCCCACCCCTTGCTGCCCTACCCCTCCCCACAATGTCCAGTCAATTTGTCCACTTCTGTACTGCCGCAAGTAGCAATGTCCATCATTGTTACTGAAACAACAACAACTATGTATTACTGGCATAATGTAATCATTACTATTATGACTAGCATAGGAATACTCATTACTTAAGTATTTAATAATAATTGCTACCGACTGTTAAAACTCCAAAATCATTTGGAAAGCAGAGTATTTGGTGATTACGACTGGGATGTTTGCCGGAGAGGGGGCTGGGGAGTGCCGCTCCAGAGCTTGGCAGCGAGAAGCGGCACAGTAGAGCAGCTCGCAATGCAGGCAGCGCAGCGTCGCTCCCTCCTGCAGGTGGCACGGTGAGACGCAACGCCTCTCCGTCACTCCTGCAACAGCTCCTGCAGGCAGCATGGAGAGCGGAAGACCTCGGGCACAGGGCTGTCCAGCTTGCAGATTATTTTGTAGATGAATTTCTTCCAGGATGGGTCTGCGTCTCTGCCGGCCTTGACGGCTGCGTAAAACTCTCGCAGGGTGATCCCCGCCACCTCCAGGAAGGTCTCCGGCACCTGTGGCACACAATACGAGATCATCAGTGGCTCAAAATCCAGCCTGAATACCCTCACGCAAGCCCAAAACATAGGCGTGGGTTGTCACAATGTTAAAATAAAACACTTTCATGTTACTATTCACAAAAAACTCATCCTTTACATTGCTTGATGCTGAGTATCATGAGGATGTTGATTGTATGTGTATTCTTACATAAGTGAAGGATAACAGGTTACTACCAATAAAACCTTTACACATAACAACTTTACGTTGTTTTCTGCAACCAATGGCTCCTCTTGCTTATTCGGCATCTAATAATTTGGCTCCTTTGAAACACACGGGGATTCAGGCTGTTAGGCACTTAACGACGCATTGAGTCATCTTATAAAAATCGATCATCATGCCCACAAAACACGCATCAAATCGTGCGTAGAGCATCTACAGTACTATATTTTACTGTTACATCGACGCAAATGGAGCAAAGAAACGAGCCGAAAAAGGAATCAATTTTTTTAAACGAACAGCAACACAGTTAGGACAATATAAATGCTGTGAGGTCAAACTGCCAACGCGTCTAAAACCCGACATAACAAAGTCGCGATCATTCACGAGTGCATGCTCAGGTTTAAAAACAAAACTGTACAAAACAGCAATACTCCCGTTAATCAGTATAATGTACACTTTAGGCTTAACATCTAAACATATCATCGCTGTGTGGGTCCTGTCCACAATACGTGAATTCACGCAAGGAGAGGGGATAAAAAAACACAAGCAGAGGAGCGTGGAAGCAGGAGTGCGGCCAGCTGACAGCACTCTTAATTGAGAGCACACGAGTGACCCATTGCATTGTGCTCCTGCCCCAACCGGCAGATGGCTCAAACAAAACCAGGCAGACTCCGCTCGCTCTTGCAGAGCCTGCGGCTGCCAAGCGCTGGCACGGGGGCAGGGCGTTCCCGCTGCTCTTTGCCTCCTCTTTTCATCGCGGAAAACCGTGGACACGGCACAGCACCGCAGACTGCACTGGGCGTAGACGACCACCCTCCCCCCCCTTCCCCTCCCCCGCCTCCGATGCTCTCAGACATCCCCCAGGAGCCCAGAGCGGCCTTCAATGTCCGTGTACTGAGTCCCACCAAGGGCCCTCAGCACACCGTGCTCGGCTCCAAGAACTGGAAGCGCACCCAACAAGGGGAACCCCCAAACTCCCCTCTCATTGAGCCTTTGAAGAGCCATCGATTACCCTCCCAGGGCATCTGATGCCACTCCGCAAACGCTCGTCTCCCCTTTGTGAACCCGCAGCGAAAACACGTGGCAGGGTAAGCAACTGTCCCCTTGCAGCGCTGCATCCTCTAATGGAACTCTAACTAATGTTATCGTCTGGGTATGTGTAGCGAGTGGGTACTGGTTAGTGCAGTGGTGCTGCCGGAAAGGAATAAGAAATGTCCTTTTCAGTGACGGACACTAAGTAACGTGCATACAAAATAGGCGCCTTGAGACATTAGTGGAAGGCACCTTACAAATAAATGTAAAATATAATTATTAGTGTAATGGATTTCTCAACAGGAAGTTATTTTCGGGAGGCTATGTAGGCTCTGCTTTCCCATAACAGAAGGCCTTCAAAAGCAGACCAATAGCCATAGCGCTCACTCACAAACCTCTACAGAGAGAAGCTTTAGAAGGCATCACAACACATGCCCAGTCTCGGCAGATCAGTGTGCAATTTGCTGGAAATCTGCACATCATCTATACGAGCTACTCGCATACAGATGATGTGCAGGTGACCAGGGAGGGGAGACGCCGTGGCTCAGCAGCTGCTGTATGCGTCTCCTATGGGACGAACGGCACAAGCACCGGCTCAACGTCAGTGGAGCAACTACGCGGCCTTGGACACAAGAGTGTCTCACCACACTGCGTGCCTCTCACCATGCTTACTGCGTATTTAAATTCACATGGCTGCTTTTGTACCCCAAAGGATGCCCACCTGCTCTGTAAACTTGAGGTTAATCCAACCACCAATCAGAGCCCCACCTTGGCCAGCACTGCCCGCGGATGTTTCTACACTGGAATCGAAGTGCCGGGCGCCCATCCACAATGGCCGTGGTGCGTCCCATGGGTCAAGAGTCACTGCGTATGGACTATAGTCGGTGTGCCGCGCGTGCATGCCCGCACAGGGGTGCACTGGTTCACGAGCGCGTGCCGATGAACGTGCTTGCCTGGAAATCGTTGGACTTGTTGTAGTGAGCGTTGATCGCCTTGAAGAGCTCGGAGTCGCGAGTGACGCCCAGCGTCTCCCCGTCAAGCCCCTCGGTTACCGCAGCGCGTGCAAACTTCTCCATCTGGATGTAGTAGAACTCGCGGAAGTTGCTAAACCACTTGATGAGCTGCGACGTCGTGCACCTGTTAAACTGCACCACAGACACCATGCACGCTTCTGTGACTCACTACTCGGTGTTGTCTGAAGTGCTTGCACATTTTGGCTAATTGATACCACTTCTTTCATATTTTTACTTGTTAAATTATCATTTATGTAGGTTGAGCATCTTTTGCACCAAATGCAGCCAACCGTGCCAATCGTAGGTACAAGAATGTCAAGCTTATTTTCAAGAAAACACACACCTGCAACATGCACACGGTCAAACACAAGCCCGCCAACTCCCCCATGACGTGCATCTGCTACACTGACCCATTGTCACCAGTGAGACACGGACAGCATCTGTCGATGATTTAGCCTCATTAAGCGATGGCTTTGGGGATGCAGGAAAATAGAGCAGTGCTACCAGATGGGGGAGGGGGGGGTAATGCTCAAGTTTAATTCTTAACATGAACAATCAGCGCACACGGGGAAACAAGCACACAGAGACACCACCAGTACACAAGGAGACAAGCTCACACAAGGAGGCCAGTGAGCAGAGATCAGCACACACTCTCACAGCCAGATCATCACATATAATCGGGAAACCAGCATACACACCCACACACACGCCAGTAACCAGCACATACTCAGAGATCAGGATCAGCAAAGACAGGGAGTAGGGCACACAGGCACAGCTAACTGAAACAATTACAGATCATTTGAATGCAGATCCACAGCAGCAAGGTGAAACACAGCCAAACAACGGTACGAACATTGAGATACGGGGAGGTCAAGCAGGACGTCCCCCACCTAGGGCCCGTGAAGGCACAAGGGGTACATGAGTCACAGGATATGTAGCAAAAACAAACCCCACTCAACCGTCCCTTGAAAACCAAGTACCGTCGCCTCACACTCCAGCGGCGAGACTTGTCCCATCTGCGTATTATCATGGTACATCACACTATTCCCACTCCCCCCCCCACCAACACGTATATAAAACTAGAAATGGCGAAGTAGACATGTTGTGGTTATGGTAGCAGTCGCTGCTGCTGCTGAGGTGATTGCTGGTTCAGACGCGGCTGACCTTGACATCCGGGAAGTAAAGCTTGAGCATGTTGGAGCTGGGATAGCGCGAGTAGAAGAACATGAGTTTGGCCTTCTTGAGGTGGTGCGGAGTGAGGCCCTCCTGCAGCAGGGGCTGGACCATGAGGCCGTCCTGAACAGGGCCTCTCGTCAAGGAGCACAGAGGAACCCGGGGCGACACTCGCAGTTTCATCATCACGTGCACTCGCCATCTTCATTGCGTGTCCTTCATTATGAGTGTCCATTATCACACGTTAATTATGTTTTCATCGTCCTCACAAGCATCATCACCAACACGAGCATGCTATGCATTCATAGCGATTAATTGCACCTGTAACAACGTGGGCTCGGGTCACACGCGTGCACTCAAAGGCCTCCCCCCTCTGTCAGCCTGAAAAGGCTCAGGATAATTACTCCCATCAACAGCTGAATGCACGCAAGCACGTACACACAGGAATACATGTACTCAGTCATGCGTCGCCTTCATGTGACGAAACCCAAGGTCATGACGCAGCTGCTGCATGGCTCGAGTCATAACCCACGCCCCCACGTGAGCCGGCTTCACCACCTCCACTGCCGATCACGAGCAGGGCTGAGACTGCGGCAAGTCAGGCTCCACTCTGCATTAGGCGAGCAGGCCATGGGCTCATGCCGGAGAATTCCTTCTACGTTCAGCAAAAACACCAGGCTTAGCACTTTACAATATCCACACGAATAATAAAATCCACACGACTGCGTAATTGGCATAACGTTATGGCACGTATTAGTTTACCCGTTTTACGCTGTAAGCATTCTGAAGGTTTTTAAAACGATGCGATACAGGGCTCGCATTGTGAGGTCAGGAGGAACAGATGCTGCCGCAGGAGGCGTGGCTCCGTCACGAGCGGTCCCCGTGGGGTTGTGGGACCTACAGATTTACGACTCCCGAGCCAAACCAGCTCCAGACACCAAGGCACACAACTGTGCATGGTGGCCTTCACACTCACACCCACATCTGCTGTGAACTGAGAATTCATTTCACGAGTATATAATGAGCTGTTGGGACACGTGACCATGAGTGCCAACCGATGCTACACTTAGCCTCCAGGCTTTGCAGGAAGCACTGGACGAAGATGAATCAATAGTAGTTCGGTTTCTGTTCTCCAGCAAGCACATGTGGAGCCTTAAGACCTCAATTGCATCTGACAGGTGAGATCGAAACCCATCATCTTCAGTTCACGAGTAGCGTGAAGCACAAATTCACTCCGATGGCTAACGCCGACAACACGGACAACTCCCACGCAGCGCCCGGTCAGTCGCCCAGAGGCACTGGTGTCTGGGGGGAGCCATGTTGCTCTATAAACAATGTTGCTCTGAGACATGAGCAGCACACTCTGGAGAACTGGACCCCTAACTGTGGAAGGGCACTGTGGCAGTCAATGCCAGCAAGCGTCAGGGTAAGTCCACCACACTGGGATAGCGACATGGGGAGCCGCAAGCCACATAGACGGATACATGCGCGGCATGCCCAAAGAACAACCAAATAGCCATGATCTTTAAGCGCAAAGTACAACGATCATAATCTTTGCCCTTTCAAGGCCATGGACGAGTGTGGGTGTGGGGAGAGACTGAGGTTTATGAATAAAATGATAAACATCGGGAGATAAGGAAAACAGTCAATTTCGCAGGCAGGCAGGCAGGGTGGGTGCTCTTTTCCTGTGCGCTAAACACAAAAGACAGCAGCTCCACCCCGTGCTCTGCCAGGAAGATAAAGCAAACAATGAAAATGGTGTAACCCGAGACACAGGAGCAGGTGCAGGAGGCTGGAACCAAGAAAGGGAGGATGATGGGGGTGGGGGAACAGAGTGCTTGAGATTCATCGAGTGACAAACGCTTCTCACAGTGCAGTCATGGCCACGCTGACCTCCGCCTCCACAGTTCAAGCCAAGCCCGAGGTCTTGATCGAATCCACAACACCCTCGCAAGCCTTAGTCATTCCACTTCGGTCAATTCGCTGAAGACATTTCTGCATCTCTCAAGCATTCGGAAAGGAAGAGTCATTCTGTCTTAACTTGGACCGCTCCGGCACACCTGGGAGAGGCAGGTTCAGCCTCCGTGTGAAGAATGGCCCTGCCAAGGGCTTGCCAAGGGACTCATGTGGAGCATGGAAATAGCCCCATGGACGAGGTCGAGTTCAAACTCATTATAGCAGGATTGAATTACCATGCGGCTAGGCCAAGAGCCCCGTGGATGGGTGTTCAGCAGCCATGGCTCCTCCGCCAAAGACAAGAGCTCAGCACTGGCAGGCCCCGTTTCACATCAACACTCGCAAAACCCACTCGTACTACTCAAGGTCACTCTCAAACAAAGTACAATTCCCAAGAGCTCACCTTGGAATGTGTATTGTGTGTACTGTGTACACAGACAGTGTGTTGTGTATACATATGGGGTATACAAAACACAATGTCTAGATGATTCACTGGACAAACAAAGATTCATCATTTTGGCAGGGAAGCCCTTTTCCGAGTCATATCTAAAATTGTCCAAAGTTGTCCCAATACTAACATTCCTAATTCACTGTAAATGTAAGCACACTTGCCTGGACAGAATGCAATTTCTGGTATATTGGAATTCTAGAATTTCCAACCCAAAAAGGCAAAAGTTTACTTTTAAATTACAATAATGATCTGCTCACCCAAGTCAGGTGGGATTGTGACACAACTGTAATTATGTGCTACTGTTCTGTACATAACCAAGTCAAGTGACATGAAGATTCCTCGTGTCACCCAACAAGAGGATGATATGCAGCGCCCGTCACTGAACAACTCATGGGCTACGTCTTGGCCACGGGTGACTCGTACACATACGGATACTTCTACTCCAGGCTGTGCGTTTCACACTGTTGACATGTTTATTACTTTGCTCAAACATTAATTCCTTTGACTGGAATGATGACTAATGCTGCCTTGATGTTGTCTCAAGTCTCCATCGTAGGAGATGAAAAACCTCCGGATGGCCCCTTGGGGCTGTGGATAAATTTTTCATTAGTTTAGACAAAGGTATGAATCTAATGCAACTGACATCAACAATCACTGACACTATAACAGCAAGTGACATCCCAAATATGATCAAATCCGTGCCTTGACATATCAGGAATTAAACCAAACAAATTGTTCAAAAGGTGAATTTCACAAGCACTCCCAAAATCTATCAACAATTCCATTTGAAAGACCTCTCATTCTTCTCCCACCTCGCTACCAGCCTCCTATCCTGCTGTCACCATCTACTCGCGCAACCTCAGATGAGACAAATGTGAAGCGATTGGTTGTCATGCCAACAAGTGCAGCTGAACATATCACCCAGAAATCTTAATGTCTCAGCCAAGGCTTCGCTCATAGACGCATGCATTTCATGCTGTGCCGATTAGCTTCAAGCACCAAAGAAATCAATTTTGAATCAAATGAACGGTAATTGTCATTGCCCTTTTGATGGACGAGCATGCAAATTCTGCATATCTTCAATTAACAACACTAACCAGGGGTACCCTTGAACTCGATAAGCGATGTGTGCATGGATAGATCATCAGTACATACATATGATAGGCCACGAAGTTTAGGGGAGTGGTAATGGGGTAGTGGAAGCAAGTGGGGAGAGCGAGATATGGATGGGGATAGTTTCACAACCGCGCAAGTTCACCCACGGACATGCGGGAAATTCCGCGAGTGCACATGTGTGACTAAGCAGACCAAGTTTGCTCGCTGAGGTTTTGAAGGATACGGTGGTGGTGGCATAGGGGGAGACGTCGCTGGTGTCCTGCAGGTCCCCGCACTCAGACTTCACCAGTGAAGTGGAGAGACCATCTCCAGAGCTGCTGGTCAAGGTTGGAGATGTGGCAGCGATGGGAGGCCCTCCTACCAGCCCAGTGTTACCTGGTGGCTCTCCTAGAAACTGTGCCCTCCCTGGCAAGTCTTTGGCAAGATCCAGAAGCACTGGAGACAGGCCCCCATCCTCCTTACGAGTGCTCCCCATGCCCTCCTTAGTGGCTGTGCCGCCTGGCTCACACAGGGGCTTGGGCAGCGAGGAGAGCAGAGGAAGGGGCAGCCTGAGGTGGTGCAGCGAAGAGCCGGGGAACCCCGGAGAGCAGAGCAGCGGGAGGCCAGCAGAGTGGTGATTACCAAACAGTGCACCCTTGGAGGATCGCCCTTCAGAGTAGGACTTTCGTACAACCAGTGGAAGGGCCTCCGTCTGGTCTACATAACCTTCTGTTGCATTGGCTGTGACGTGAAAAGGCCTATCGTCCAAGCTTCTGCCCAGGACATCACTTAGGCACTGTGAGAGGCGGTTGTTAGTCTTGACATCGTGTCTTTCCCCGTTCGTTGTGGGCCTCCCCACCAGTGAGGTCTTCAGCTGTAGGGGAGCCGTGGTTAGTCGGGGACTGTGTGGTTTCGCTGAGAACATCCGCACAACCGAGTCCACCACCTGAGACACAGCACCATGGAGCCCGTTCTTAAGAGCCTCTGCAAAGTCATCTCCATCCTCTTTTAGGAGGTCATTGTGCACCCTCTGTCCATTCTCCACTCTGTTTCTTGAGGGACACTTTGTGTGAATCCTGTCATTTGCCTCAAACCTGCAATCATTCACTGCTGTCCGGGAACAATGGCGAGCATCGTCGAAATAATCGGCAGCCTCGCGCAAGGGGGCGCGAAGCTGAGAGTGCCTCCCTACCCGCATAGACGCACTTTCATCTGCAGAGTCCTCTCCAGTGTGGTCCTCCAACTCGGAGTCGCTGCTGCTACTGCTGTACACCTGGAAGAACTTCTCCTGCAGCTGGCGCAGCTGCCTCTGTAGGTCCTCCAGCTGTTGCTTCAGGCGCCGCCTCTCCTCGGCACACTGCTCCCCTGTCTGCCTGCTGCCCTGCCGGGACCGGCGTGTCCCCCGAGAGCCCTGGCTCTGTTGCTGGGGTAGGCGTTGCTTACGCTTGTTCTCCCGCTGTTGCTGTGATGTTGGTAGGTGAGGGCCTTGGCTCTGGGGACTCGACCTCGGAGGGTGGGGAGGCCCCCCTGGCTCCTCTGTCATGTCTGAGGGACAGGGCCTCTCTCCTGCAGCGATGCACGCCTCATCATCCCTCTCCCCACGGCAAGCGGTGCCAACGCCCAGTGGAGAGTGGCTCATGCCACGGATGATGCTCTCAACGCGGGCGCGCTTGGCCTGTAGGTGCTCATCCAGGGGCCGGTTGCCCACAGGCGATCCTCTTTCCTGGCCCGAGTCACTTCCCTGGCGCTCGGTGCCCTCGGAGCCATGCCGCTTCCTGCACACTGCGCCTGGCACCAGTGAAGAGTTGCTTCCACTGCTGGCGCAGCGCTTGAGGAGTGCGGTGCCGAGGTGTCCAGGTGAAGCAGGCTCTGTTGTGCGGAGCAGCTGATCCAGAATGGTGGAGCCCGCGGCCGCCTCCCTGGTGCCGTCAGGGGCATTGCCCTCGGGGCTGGGAAGCACCACACTCATGGGCGCCGAGGGCCTCCTCCCCACGCTCACGTTCCACGCGTCGCTCTTCCCGGATGCTCTAGTGCATCACTGAACAGCACAGGCGTCGAGTGACCACTGCATCAAAGCAGCATCGCTGAGAAAAACAAATACAGAGGGATTTGGTGAGTGATGCTCTCACTGCAATGACACAGAATTTCAAATTGTAACCAGGCAATGCAAGCTCCGGTAAAGCCATTTCAGGTATCACATCTGTTTTCTACAACCATGAATATGGAATATTTTATATTCAAAATAACTCTTTAAAAATGAGATCTCCAAGTCCATTGCATATTCAGAATTGCAATATTTTAAACTCGAACAATAGATAATAAGCATGCAGTCGAGGAAGCAACATCGTTGGCTCGGCAGGGACAGCGACCGCTCAACCTGACACCGTCATTACTAAACATTTGGCAGCAACAGCTCGAAGCCTGGGGCCAGGGTGCTAGCGTCCAGTGTGACACCGTCTTGTTGTGAAGCGTATTCAAAGTACCGTACCGAGATTCACTCCATTTGGATGGGGGGGAGAGGGGTGGTGGGGGAGGTGGCGATTGAGTCAGCCGAGCCCCTGCGGCTAGGAGGCTGCTCAGCCTTGTTGCACCTCACGATGGATTCCCCATTAGCCCAGCCCTGGGGAGAGAGAGGCACGGGAACCAAGTCCTGAGCCGCCCATCCAGCTGGCGCGGCTTAATGGGGTCCGTACCCCCCCCCCAACCCCGTCACGCACGCGGCAGCACTCGTGTCCCAGGATGCTAACTCGAGGGAGATGGGAAAAGCAAGATTTACATCTCCTGTGTGGCGCATTGGAAACGCGACGTGCGGCGCCGTGACCCCAACGCGCTTCCGCGGAGGCGCGCGTCTGCCCAGCGCGGCGCTCATAACGGGATGTGGGACAGAGGCCGGCCCCCTCCCCCCAACCCCTTCCCCACAACCCCCTCGCCCCAACCCCTTCTCTTCTTCCCCACCACCACCACCAAGCCGACAGAAGCGCCCTTCTTGAACGATCTGTGCGCGCCTCGTTCTCCCCCCCACACCCAAACGACGCGTCGTGGCTTTGATGCGACCGGCCGCTTTCCGTCCTCGCCAGATAAACCCGGACCCTGGGACCCTGGAACCCTGGGACCCTGAACCCCCGGGGACCCTGGGACCCTGGAACCCCCGGGACCCCCGGGACCCCGGGACCCTGCCTGGGACCCTGGAACCCCCGGGACCCCGGGACCCTGGGACCCTGGAACCCCCGGGACCCCGGGACCCTGGGACCCTGGAGACCCTAGGACCCTGAACCCTGGAACCCCCGGGACCCTGGAGACCCTGGAGACCCTGGGACCCTGGAACCCCCAAAATGTCCCCACAAAACTCTTTTAAAGGACGCGAGGCTACGCAGCAGCGCGCCCAGACGAGCGCACACGTGGGCGATCCCATCAAGTGGCAATTAAACACGGCGCGCGGCTGTGATTAGGTGGCCGTCATCATGCAATTTGGAGGGAATTACTGGGCGCGGCAACAATCACGACACCGCTCATTATGGCAGACACTCGCACGCAGACGCCAGCCACCACCACCACCCCCACCACCCCCCTGCTCACGGCAGAGCCCCAGGAGGAGCCCCAGGAGGAGCACGCCGCGTAGGGACACCGCTCGCGAGCTCCAAACTCACGCCGCGATCGTGGCCCCCGGGGTGAGGATCTTACGGTGGGAGTTCGGAGAAAGTCATGGATGAAGAAGGATACACTGTAGAGTTAAAGAGTCGGCGTCCGGGTCTGAGGTGGGGCGTTGATTACTAACGATTAAGGCGGGGTTAAGGTAGAGTCGGGGTGGTGGTGGTGGGGGGGTCACGGTGAAAGTGAGGGTCACGGTGAGACGTGGAGACGTCAGTCGCGCACGGAGGAGACAAAGGACGCGGAGGACAAAGGAGACGGCCCCGCCACGAGGATGAAGGGAACGGGGCGCTCCTCCCGGCCCTCTCCCTGCCTCCCTCCCTCTTACAATCTCTCCTTCTCTCTGTTACCCCCCCCCCCCCCCACCGCTCCGCTCCGTGACTCTCCTTTTCCGTCTCATCTCCCTGCCTCTCCCGATGTCCCCCCCCCCCCCCCCCCTCCTCGTCTCCCGCTCCCCCGTCGTCTCCCTCCCCGTCTCCCCTGGGCTCGCTCCGCACCTTTACCTGTCGGGACTCGGGCGACGAGAGCCTCCCCGGGGTAGACGCAGCACTTCGGCACTTGGCTGAAGGGGCTCCCGAGGCTCTGAGCTCCCGCCTCTGGACTCCAGACTCGGGCTCCTGGCTCCCGGCTTCTCTGCTCGTGTCTCCCGGCTCCTGGGCTCGTGGCTCCCGGCTTCTCGGCTTCTCGGCTCGCCGCTTGGTGACCCCGGCCCACGGATTCCGAGCTCTGAGGCTCCGCGCCGGGCGCCAGGGAGTACAGTGCGGTCAGGGGGCGGGGCCTCGAGGAGGTGGAGTCGGGCCAGGGGGCGGGGCCAGGGGGCGTGGAGGTGGAGCCAATATCGAGGGGGCGGGGTTTCGAAGGCGTGGCTATGTAAAGGCAGTCCCTCCAGAAAAACGCGGAGTTTTTTGGTGATTGTTGCGGGCAAAAATCGTTGATTATGCGGCACGTTTTCTTAAAAAATGCGATGGAATATGCGGGATATTTATGCAATTTTATGCGATTAAATTGCGGGAACTTGCAAAAATTGCGGGAACTTGCAAAAACTGCGGTTTGATGAAAAAGAGAAAAAAAAGTGATTCCCCCAACACCCTATTCACTAGGCTACTACTTTAATGTAAAGAGTCATTTCTTATTACTTCCTATGATAAGCACGCATACTACATCACAGAAAGTGCTGGGAATATTTAAGTTCTCATCTTGTTTTATTTCAGACCTTAACAAACAGATGGCTCAAACTTACAAAACATTGAGTCGAACAAGTTCTGTAGCTTTACAAAATGAATATGCTACAACTTCTGTAAAAATGAATAAATAAAATATTAAAAAATAAAATGTGTGCTTCCGGTTTTACAGAGGTAGCTATACAAAACAGACATCTTCTGTTAAAATAAGTGTTTTCAGTGCACAGTAACGTAAGCAATACAGTAACAGTACAGTCTTGCAGTAATGTAAATTTACATACTACTAACAAAAAAGTGCAATCTTACAACTGTAAAGTTGCATAAACTCCTGAATAAAACTAACTACGTAGCCTCTAACACTTCATAACGTTCCCATGGCAACAGGGGAAATGGCTGCGCTTGTGTGAAGTAAACGCAACATTTTTCAACTTTCCGCTAAGATATATGTGACTTTTTGCAACGAAAATGCGGGGATTATGAAATCATGCAAGCCCGCATATTTTGCGCGCGGAAATCTGCAATTTATGCGGCGAAAGTGCGGCGTATTTGAAAAAACGCGCCCCCCGCATAAATATGCGGACTTTGGCTGATTTTGCGTGGAATCTTGCGATCGCATAATCGCGTTTTTCTGGAGGGACTGTAAAGGGTGAGAGGGGGTTGCCAGGGAGAGGGGGGGGCAGGAAGAGGGGGGGGTAGCCAGGGAGAGGGGGGGGGGGTAGCCAGAAAGAGGGGGGGGGTAGCCAGGCAGAGGGGGGGGGGGTAGCCAGGGAGAGGGGGGGGGGGTAGCCAGGCAGAGGGGGAGTAGCCAGGGAGAGGGGGGGGTAGCCAGGGAGAGGGGGGGGGTAGCCAGGGAGAGGGGGGGGGGGTAGCCAGGGAGAGGGGGGGGGGTAGCCAGGGGGAGGGGGGGGTAGCCAGGGAGAGGGGGGGGGTAGCCAGGGAGAGGGGGGGGGGGGTAGCCAGGGGGAGGGGGGGGTAGCCAGGGAGAGGGGGGGTAGCCAGGGAGAGGGGGGGGCAGGAAGAGGGGGGGTAGCCAGGCAGAGGGGGGGGTAGCCAGGCAGAGGGGGGTAGCCAGGGAGAGGGGGGGCTGGCCAGGGAGAGGGGGGGGGCAGGAAGAGGGGGGGTAGCCAGGGAGAGGGGGGGGGGGGTAGCCAGGGAGAGAGGGGGGGGTAGCCAGGGAGAGGGGGGGGGGTAGCCAGGGAGAGAGGGGGGGGTAGCCAGGGAGAGGGGGGGGGTAGCCAGGGAGAGAGGGGGGGTAGCCAGGGAGAGGGGGGGGGGTAGCCAGGGAGAGGGGGGGGGGTAGCCAGGGAGAGGGGGGGTAGCCAGGGAGAGGGGGGGGGTAGCCAGGGAGAGAGGGGGGGGTAGCCAGGGAGAGGGGGGGGTAGCCAGGGAGAGGGGGAGGGTAGCCAGGCAGAGGGGGGGGTAGCCAGGGAGAGGGGGGGGGGGGGTAGCCAGGGAGAGGGGGGGGGGTAGCCAGGGAGAGGGGGGGGGGGTAGCCAGGCAGAGGGGGGGTAGCCAGGCAGAGGGGGGGGGGTAGCCAGGGAAAGGGGGGGGGGTAGCCAGGCAGAGGGGGGTAGCCAGGCAGAGGGGGGGGGGGGTAGCCAGGGAGAGGGGGGGGTAGCCAGGCAGAGGGGGGGTAGCCAGGGAGAGGGGGGGGTAGCCAGGGAGAGGGGGGGGCAGGAAGAGGGGGGGGTAGCCAGGGAGAGGGGGGGGTAGCCAGGGAGAGGGGGGGGGGTAGCCAGGGAGAGGGGGGGATAGCCAGGGAGAGGGGGGGGGTAGCCAGGGAGAGGGGGGGGGGGTAGCCAGGGAGAGGGGGGGGTAGCCAGGGAGAGGGGGGGGGTAGCCAGGGAGAGGGGGGGTAGCCAGGCAGAGGGGGGGTAGCCAGGCAGAGGGGGGGGGGTAGCCAGGGAGAGGGGGGGGTAGCCAGGCAGAGGGGGGGTAGCCAGGCAGAGGGGGGGGGGGTAGCCAGGGAGAGGGGGGGGTAGCCAGGCAGAGGGGGGGTAGCCAGGGAGAGGGGGGGGGTAGCCAGGGAGAGGGGGGGCCAGGAAGAGGGGGGGGGTAGCCAGGGAGAGGGGGGGGGTAGCCAGGAAGAGGGGGGGTAGCCAGGAAGAGGGGGGGGGGTAGCCAGGGAGAGGGGGGGGGTAGCCAGGGAGAGGGGGGGGTAGCCAGGCAGAGGGGGGGGGGTAGCCAGGCAGAGGGGGGTAGCCAGTGAGAGGGGGGGGGCCAGGCAGAGGGGGGTAGCCAGGGGGAGGGGCCACCACCACCATTGTCTCCTTGACTCTTGTTAGAGACATCGACCACGTTGGGTTTTTTTCAATAAGCCCCACGCTCCGGTCCACGTGGTGGCCTTCAGTAGAGGGAACTAAACGCTCTCCCTCCCGCCGACGCTGTCACGTGAAGTCTGAGCGTGGGCTCATGAATAAAATCCAGTTTTTTTTGTTGTTGTTGGGTTAGATCGTCGCGTAAGGATAAATGTGTCGTGAAACCCGCAACCACCCGACAGCTTATTAGCAAGGTGTTCGATATGTAAACAAAACAGGCAATTCCTTAGTAGTTCAGCACACCGGTGTGTTGGAGAGTAAACCGACATTTGCAAATGTAATTGTACAATTGTGCATTTCGGGTGGTTGCGGGTTTGACACATACGCGATCCAACCCCTTCATGTATATTGGTCACGAAAGTCTACGTGTGAAACCAAAAGACGACAATGTAGGACCGGCTGAAACCCCTTTCTCGAACATAGAACTTTGACAACCCCTGTTGATCCTCTACCCCTCAATGTGTATTGTCCCCCCCGAAACAAGGTCACGCTACATAGGACGGGCCACCCGCTCACCTCCACAAGCGCGCATCTGTAATTACCGTACAGTGTTGTAAATGAGTAGGGAAAACCGAACTGCTGGCGGCATTCACAAAGGTGGCCCGGTTACACGGAAGAAAGACTCGCTCGTAACAGCTGTGTACTTTATTGAAGTGCACGGGCAAGAACGGCGTGAACCCGGCACATCAGCTGGGGAGGAGCCGTGTGGGGTCACGCACGGATGACTGCTCCACGTAACCCACGCTCGAAACGCCACACGTCCCACACACGCAACATCAATATCACATTAGCATACACCCGATGGTGTGGAAAATCCCTAAAACTGCACGTAAAACAGGACGCGAGTGTACGTGCACGTCTATCTCGAAACGCCACGGCACACCACATGCTTCCCACAGTACCCGCTACTCAACATAACGCGGGGGCGTTTCCTTCACCCCTTTAGTTGAACATTGCAATATTGTCGTCTCAGTCCACCTTCAACAATTCTCCGAAATGCAGGATACAGTATGCACGTGTGAGCCAGTGGTTTCCCACCTACATGTATCGTCAGTTTATCAACCTTGTTTTCACTTGGTTATTTCACCATGATCATCCACGACCAATCCACTGCTGGATGAAGGCCTTCCCAAGCCGTCCGCATCTCTCACGATTCTGAGATGCAGCAATCCACCTAGCACTTGCCCAGGAGCAGATTGTAATCTTTTAATCAGGAAAAGTGTATTGAATTTAAATTATTTATCTTCACCCTAGTGTATTGTATGTTGAACTTTTTTGGCAAAGTACGCAGCCAAAACTGTGCTAATCGGAGGTGCGCGGGGAGGATAACAAACTAAACACAGGGTACGGCTACTACACGGGACAACCCAGTGCACTTTTATACAATTAGTGTGTGAAACCCCGCGGGACGCACGTAAATAACCATGATTTTAATTCCGTGATGCGTCTTGCAGTGCTGCTTAACAGTCACCACGACTTTTCACCGCCTTGTCCACGTCACACACAAGCGCCAGCCACTTCCTCCGTGCGGTGCTCTTATGCACTGTCACTGTACTGTGTTTATTCAGTTTGCTCAGCACTATTTTCCGTGCATACATACGAGTTTTAGCAGCTTTAAAGACAAAATGGAAAACACCTGGCTGACGTACACCTCGCACTCCAGTGGCTTCAAGCACTCGGCAAGAATCAGCAATTCTAGATTTGAAGCTTTCGTGACTGCAAGGATTCGTACTTTGTTTTTTTCGGTAAAGTCACGTAGGTAACATTACCTACGTGACTTTACCGAAAAAACAAAAGAGTAAGAACCAGCAACCCTGCCCAATGCAGTCACTTAAGTCTCATACTCTCCATATTCTCCTAACCAGAGATTCATCATGGAGCCATCAGTACCAAGGGCTTTTTGGTTGTGCTAACTTGTCATGCCACAGTGTATGGACAGCGAGCACGAGAAGCAGCAGAACGCGAGGAACACATCAACATCGAGCCAAGGAGGTCGTCTTCTTTGATCTCCTGGCCTTGCACTGGTGCCCAGCATCTGGGCAGGTTCAGCAGAGACCAGCAGAGACCAGCAGCGCGCACCCCGGTCCACATCTCTCAAAAGTCCCCACCGCAAGGAATTCCTCGTCACCATTTCTTTACAGAAGCATCACTCATTTGGCTGTTGTTTTTAGACATCCTGCATGCACTGGTTGCAATGCTGGTGACACTCACATTGTGCACCACATGCCTTTAAATGTTCATCTAACCAGTGTGTAGAATGCTGGCCAATCAGAAGAAAGTGAACTAATCCAAGCCTTTATGTAGTCCTTGAAAGGCAAGGCTTGTTCACTGGAATGAAGTCACATCCGTGCATAGTCAGAAGTGATGTGCCGTTTGGCGAAATCTAAACGCCGTGTAGGACGTCATCTTCGAGCAGCTCAGCAAACCAATCTCCGTCCTCCTCTCCTGTTAAAACGCAAATGCCCACACAATTTCATGTTACATCATTTCAACCAGGCAGCAACAAATACTTCAAGACCAAGACAAGGCCAATCAAATAACAGAGTATTTCCAATTCATATATTTGGAGGTTGCTTGACAGTGCTGAGTCGGGTGATGTTATTGTGTAGCAGACACCCAAGTGTATATTGTGCATAACAAACCTGACTTGGCACAGGGGTCAAACAACTCCAACTCATGTTGGGAAAGTCCAGCCACAGGAATAGAGGCCAAGCTGGGATCCCTAGCACCAACATCCTCACTCTTCTCACTTTTGTTCTCACTTTCGTTCTCACTTTCTCTCTCGTCCATGCCTCTACCCCCTTTGTATTGCCCCTGGGCGTCCTCCATCTTCTCTTCTTCATGCAGGCCCTGTCCCTCTCCTGGTGCCTCAATCTTCATATCTAGTGTGGTCATGACTGGGGCTGTGTCTGTGGTATCAAAGCCAACATGCAACCATACATGAAATTAGAATATTGTTTAAATGTCATTCTATTTTATATTTAATCAGCTCACATCCACGTGCTAGGTGCATTATTACGTCACAGCATAATGAGATGGTAACAGCCTTGAGAGGCCTTCATCCAGCAGTGGATAGATCATTGCTGATAATTAGATTTCCTATTATACAACAGAAAATTGTATAAACCTTTCCAATGCACCGATACATGCCAACAATCTTGCTATTTCTCGTTAATAAAACACCCCTTAATTAAAAATATATATTTGGCAGCAGGAGCCTCCTCACCATATGGAGGTCCCGCCTCGTCTAGACATAGATCCGTGGAGATGACACAATCTTCTACTCCGCTCACAGACAGCCTGGAGGTGAGGCCATCCAGCAGATCCAAGTCCTCATCTGCAACTTGAGGCTGGTTAACAGCTGATGACGCACTGTGTGAGGGCTGGAGTACAGGTGGCATGGTGGTGTTGGCAGGCAGCGGCGGAGTGGATGGCGGGGAATCGATGCCGGGTAAAGGCAGCAGCGGTTCGGGCAGAGATGGCAGAGAAGCAGATTCTCCTAACTCATAGCTATGGCCTCCCTGATAACAAAAAAAATGCACATACATTTGGGGTATATACTGATAACATATTCGTGTTTTCACATGTGTATGTGTCACTTATTTGCGAATGGAAGCTTTTGTTGTGTGATTTGGTAGTCAACACTTCAGGCTGTGTAACATAAACTGTATCTTCGGTCTCTAGTATGTGTACAACATAAAAAAAAACGTACTGTTTTTAAAAGTAAAATTTGACTTCAAGTAAAAATCTTAGCAGTTTGATTTTTCTTGATACACAGCTAATGCCTGCTTCTGGCAAACGCATGCGGCATCACCTCCAGGAAGTCCTTGAGCTGCTGGCTGTTGTAGAGCGCCGGCACGGTGGCAGCGAAGCGCAGCAGCATCTCGGCACTCGCGCGCCGCTCCTCGAGCACGGCCGCCTCGAAGCGACCTCCACACACAGCCCCACCGCCACTCATTACCCGCACAGGGCACACGATCAACCTCTAGCATGAAGGTCGTAGCGGGTGTTATTGTCTCGCAAATCACTTAGCGTTAATGCATTTCTGTATGAGAAATTCACGGAGATTAAACAATTGTAGTGGTGTAAGTTTTACATGGCTGTGAGAGTAAGCAAGAGTTGCTTGAATTAAGTAAGCCACAAACGCATCCGTATCGGACGAAGGAACAGTGGGGAAGAAGGGATGAGGGATTAAAAACATCTATTTCAGAGCCAAGTAAACAACCTTAATCGCCAAGTTCAATGGTGTGTGGCAGACATTAAAATGAACCTATCCTAAATGATTTGTACTTTATGAAATTAAAATAGCAGCATAAATAGAACACTACAGCGATCACAAACATGTATGCGATCAAAGACTGCAGTAGCAACGGCGCTGTGCTAGCTGAAGGTTGCTTTCTCACCAAATATTGTGGGCTTCGCAAAAGCAGGAAACTCCTCTGAGCGGCGGAAGAGGTTGCGGTGGATGTAGGCCAGGTCGCGGTGCAACTTCTTGAAGTCGCTGTAGCGCCTCCAAACCACGGTCTGCACTCAGGCACAAGCAGCCATGTCACATCCGTGAGTCCACCCAGCACACACTCCACACAAGTTGCTACTCACAAAAAAAACTGTTCGTGTGCTGGAGCTGTATGAATTGTCGGATCGGGAAACGATGAGAGATGGCAATGGTTTGGGGTGGGGCGAGCTTCATCCAGCAGTGGATATGTAATGAACTCATGACGATGGTGTTGAAAATGTACACTGTAAAAAATATATATACCTCTGAAATCTTCTCTGGATGTTTCCTGGGCACAATCTGTGGAAAATATGTTACATGTTAATAATATTTGAGGCTAGGAATACATTTAACTGAACACATTACTGCCTACTACACAGTTCTGACAGACCGAGGCCGACTGAGAAATACGAAAGGGGTTGAGTGTGTGGAAAGGGTGGCAACTCTTCGTGCACTAAATCTCGTCGTCTGTGGAGAAAGGTGGCAACCCTTGCTAGAGCCCTCCTTCCCGGCCTGCCAGTGTCAGGGATAGTGCCAAGGCTTCAGTTCGCCTCATTGGACATGTTTGTTTGTTGTAGTACGGAGTTAGACTCATGGCCTTAATCTAAGTTGTCTTGTGGTTGCTGTTGTTGTTGTTTAACTTGCATCCCACTGGGATTTTTGCACACAGCGTTGGTGTACGGTGCTTTTTCTGCAATATTTTGCAGTCTATTCCTGGATTATCTGTTTACACTTAGTCACATAGTCACTTTAAGATATTTTCTTGTTCATGTTTTTGTTTTTTGTTTGTTGCGGTTGCACCCGATTCAAGAGCCGAATGGCTCACAGGGCTACACCAAATACTGTAAATGAAACTGAAATTGGCAACTACAGAAGTTGACTGAAGCCTTTCGGGCTGTGAACATTGGCTGGCCCCAGGTGCCATGTCCGCATTCGTGATGGTCAGCACAGCACCACAGTACGTTCATAATGAACAGGCAAAGTGCTCTACCGTAGTAACGCGCTTCTGTGAAGCCTCAGTACCATGTTGCCTCCACCTTTATCCAACGACGTCCTTAGTTCAACAAAAGAACGTCCCGTTTGGGTGTAATCGACCACAGAAACTCGAGTAATTGTCAGTAAGCGGAGGTAGAAACGGCATCCCAGGCAAGATTACGGAGACGACATTCAGCTCGGGTTGCGACTTCTTACACACAGCCAACCCGGTATATATTTATGCCCGTAATACTGTAAAGGTAACACAATCCCACCAGGTCCCGGTACACATTTAATCATCGTCACATGAACACAAACACCAATTCCCAGACGTTTCAATCGCAACACAAGCGACCCTCATCATCCAGATCTTCCTGATGAAGACCGCTTGTGTTGCGATCGAAACGTCGTCGTTCACCTATCGACGTGACTTTACCGAAAGACCCAAGAATATGAATTCCTACAGTCACGAAAGCTTTAAGATTTAACCAATTCCCAGACTATTCGGGTCAAACCCGTACCGGTGGCAACCGCGAGTGGCAAGCCCAGCGCTGAAATTAAATCGAAACCCATTAATCACTCCCGTCAAATCCCCATCTGGCGGATAATTCACATCACTGACTTAATCACAACGACGACAACAACAATAACAACAACAATAACAACAACAACGCGTATACACCGTCGCTGGAGGCCCCAACCCCGCGTGGCCCACGCGAGCCGGAGCCTCGGCCTGGCCTAGTGGCGCTGCCGGGGGAGAGCGCTGCCAGGCGGCAGGGGGTGGTGGTGGGGGGGGGGGGTGCCGAGGCCGCTCACCCGCGCCGTGACTTTGTACTCCGTGTGGCCGCGCTCGTGCAGCCGCGGCTCGGACACGGAGTAGAAGCGGCTGAGAGGCTCCTTCTCTGCCCCTCGGTGCGGCATCGCGATCAGCGCCTCTTCGTCCTCTTCTTCTTGTTCTTTATCCCGCGGCGGTGGCGGCGGCTGCCTCAGCGATGCGGAGGCTTCAGCAGAGCACGGGGGGTCGGTCACCCTCCCGCGGGGACACGGGGACTTCCTCAGTGACACGGGGACCCGGAGACACGGGGACTCACTTGGAGACACGGGACGTGCAGACACGGGGACTTCCTCAGTGACACGGGGACCCGGGGACCCGGAGACACGGGGACTCACTTGGAGACACGGGACGTGCAGACACGGGGACTTCCTCAGTGACACGGGGACCCGGGGACCCGGAGACACGGGGACTCACTTGGAGACACGGGACGTGCAGACACGGGGACTTCCTCAGTGACACGGGGACTTCCTCAGTGACACGGGACGTGCAGACACGGGGCCCCTCGGACTTCCTCAGTGACACGGACACACAGACACACATATACACAGATACACAGAGACAGGACGACACGGGGACGAAGGGACACGAGAAACATCGACAGGTCCCTGGATAAGGGGACGTGGGGCACGCGAAGATGGGAACAGAGATGGAGACCAAGCGACAATGCGGCTTAGATACGAGAAGATCTGCAGATGTGGACGCAGAAGCCACGAACAGGAGGATATATGATGGTCTGTGGCTGGTTGAATAAAATTGTAGAAGTAATTTCCCATAGACATCTACCGCTTTCGATGATAAACCAAGGCAAACGTTTAAAGTGTCTTACGAAACAAACCACTGATGACCTTCATAATCAACGTTTTTGGGTTTAAATCGCGTTATTTATAAATGTGTCGTAACCCTCCACCACCCGACACGGCCAATCAATTATTAATAACGCGATCTAAACCCAAAAACGTTGATTATGAATAATATTGGTCGCGAAAGCCTACGTGTTACACTGATGACCTATAAATATTAATCCAGAAGCCAGGATTCTGGGCTAATTTTCAGTTTAATTTATTTGGAATAACCCTGTGAGACATGGGCTCTTGATTCGGGTGCAACCGCAACAAACAATACAATTACAAGATACATTTAACATTTACTGTACGCAAATTGAAACATCCCCTACAAAAACAATAAAATCTTCCAGAAAAAGCACCATTTGTTTATTCTGCGTACAAAAATGTGCAAAAAATAATCCCATTTTGATGTTAGATCACAGTAACAATACAATGTAGATTAAATTTTAAGTATAACTCTATACTACATAAAAAAAATCGGGCTATACTAAACCTTTCTAGAAATTACTAAAATGATATAAAAACAATGTAACATAAGAAATGTGATTGAAAGTTTACAATAGCGACATACATAACATATATTACTAAACATAGCATCCTTCGCAAGCTGCATGAGTCAATCCATAATAGCAGGAGGAACAATAGTAATAGGAGCACACTATAATCAAAATACATGATAACTTCTCGCATTGGTCATCTATAGCTTTATATTTGATTTCAGGCCACTGGATAGCAGTGGCAGCTAGGGTTGTACGACTCATCTAGAGTTTTGAAGGCTCTTTCAGCCACCCTTCTAAGTGTTGGTCCCATTACCTGCACCGACGCTGGTGATAGAACCACATCCAACAAAAACCCAGATGTTGTCCTTTCATCCCCACCATCACACATCAGCCAAATCCAGTGTCAAGGACTGCACGCTCCACACTCCTGATAAGTTTTAATTTTATATTCATATCCATTTCATTGTTGCCTTTGTACGCCACTTGAGAAATTGGACGTCCTTATGAGATTCCATCTCATGGGATTATTCGAGTAAAATGTATATTTTTTTACTGTCATTTAGCCTTGATCATGTAAGTTTGTTGAACTTCGCTCGCACCGTACGTCACCAACCATGCTAACCAGAGGGGCGGGAATAATCTTCTCACTGAACCGTGGCAGGCCAAGAGCGATTTACCACTCGGGAACCCATGGGTAACTTGTAACCGTGCTCTTCCTAGATCTAGTCGTGTCAACGTGACCTGGTTTCGTTGGAACTTGTGTAGGGATAGATGTCGATGTTAATTATAGAGTTTCACACTCACCATTTCATATTGCAATTCGTTATGTCCAAACAGACCAGGTGCTTTCAATTTATGCGTCGTGTAGCTCTAAATTTATTTCAAATGGAAGCAATGAAACTCATCTTCCTCGAGATGTACACTGGTTATCTATTTACAACCATGAAAACATTAGTGGTCCAGATGTCTTGTGACCCCATGTAATTCCCTATAACGTAATGTTTAAAAATAAGGTTTATTTAAAACAAAAATTAATATGCAAAGGGGAAAAATGTTCCTGGATCAATTGATTGGGGATCACAAGACATCTGAACCACCCTGTAGAGTACTGGTCATTCGATTCAAGTTATTTCATAATTACAGGATCATTATATTTATCCACCTTATTGCAGCCATACAGGCCTGTGCACTCTTACATCCAGTGATCGAAAGTTCTTCACGTACATCACACCAACACCAGAACTGCCGTGTTCCTTTCCTAAAATGGCACCGAACTTTGCCAAAGCATTTTAAATTAGTTATAACATACAGGTGTTATGTTTATATGTTTACATTTCTTTTTTCTCGAGTAGAGTAATTGGTTCATGAGAAACTGAATGCCAAAACGTGTCCAGTTTGCTTTTATTAAACCAATGCTGCTGATAAAATGCACTCCCAGAAGGCCATGTCGCCGATGAAATGTGTAAAAGTAAACTTCAGATTTTTCATGGAAAGACAATATGGTAAAGGTGTATTGTCTACTTATGAATGTTTCTATATCTGTGGGCATTTAGTTCACGTTAAGCTATTTTGCATTAGCCTTTAGATGCAATGACATTTGAAATTAAATGATGAGCGCACTCAACAGCCCCATTGTCACATCTAGATCATTCAGTCAAAATATACAATTATACTAGTAGGACATACAGCGAGTAAAAAAGAAATCAAGTATAAATGGCGAATTACAAAAATTGCATTTGGAAGAAATTGAATCTCAACTTTTCATATCAAAATATACAATACAGACTACATAAAGAAGCTGTTATATAAACAGTTGAATATGACATATCTGCAGTAGTATCGCTGATATCAAATTCAGGCTTGTATATAAAATATATCTCAGAATGTGGAAATTATGAAGCTAAATTATAAGCACGGATACAAGTTTAACAAGTACATTAAGTAGAACAACCTCTTTCAGCATACACTGTATATCAAATGAAACACAAATGTTATCCCTTGAGACGAGAATTTCATAAATATAGTATTGGATTCAGATCAATATACTTCAAGATACAATAAAGATGAGGGCATTGATCAGTCCTTGTGAAGAACTTCTCTCTTCAGGGTCTCTGCGAGCAGCCTCCGTCTCTGAAGTGCTTTCTTCTCCTCCTCAGGCAGCTCCTGCAAATGAAGAGATGGTACTGCTCTGACTCACCATCCATACTTCATAGTCTCTTGTAATAGGAAGGTCTGCTAATTCATGCTTATTGGCTTCTGGAATCACAGCTGAGGGTAAGGTGGTCCAAAACGAATCAAAGTCTGAACTCAGAGAATGTATAGATGGCTAAAGCATGTGCACATTTGCACATTATAAGCCAGTGTTAAACAGATATTGCCTAAAACATACTTCACCAAATCAAGTCCCCTTAACAAACCCTGAAGCATAAGGACTGAGGTTATTTGTGGTGTAGTGTATTGCTTCTTTTCACCCAACTAGACAGTCAAGTTTACTTTGCTTTGTTTCTACATTCAGATTGGAGGATATGGTGTCTGAAGCATACAAACCGACTTAACTACAGAACTACATATTCTTGGGTCTTTCAGTAAAGTCACATGGATAGGTTCAAAGAGAATAACAAAATAACAAATACTACGACTTTTCGTCTTCAGGAAGACGACCGCTTGTGTTGCGATCGGAACATCGTAGTTTTTTGTTCTTTGTGTTATTTTCTTTGAACTTATTTACATGACATTACCGAAAGACCCAAGACTATGAATTCCTGCAGTCACGAAAGCTTTAAGTCAAGATTTACAGAACTACATTCATATTGACTTGGGCATGGTGGGACACTTGTGGAGGCAGCTATGGTAATGTGAACATTAACAAACTGGGTGTCATGTGAAGTCTGGGACCCCTTGCCTGGAACTCTGCCTGTGTACCAGAGGCACTGCCGGTCTCCTCATCCAGGGACCGCCCCGTCTCCTCAGACCTTTGTGCTGATCTGAGCCGGTCTCTCTGCTGCTCCAGATACATCCTCCTCTTTGCTATCTCCTCCTCACATAATGTCGACTGGTCCTGCATTATGGCAAGTAAACACACCGATTCTATAAGTTTGTGGCCACCGGAAAACTTAACAATCACCACAACATACACAAGCATGCATAACTCATAACCTCTCACTATAATATAGAACATGATTTATACATTAATACAATACAAAAAGGCAACCTGTGGCTGAATGCCATATGTTTTATATATTTAATGTCAGGATATGGTGAAGGTGCAAACAAGGCTCACTGTGTCTTCGTTTTTGGACTGAGATGTCACAACTCTGCTGTTGGATGTGTCTTCATTGCTCAGTTGCTGCTGTGAATGTCCCCCATCAGGTGGCCCATCTCCAACAGAGGCCACAACGTCCAGCTGAGTGCTCCGCGGGTAGGAGCGCAAAGGGCGCAGGGCCTTTCTCTCTGGTCCAATGCTACAGCCATCTGGTCCATATCAAACCACACAGTACATAGCGAGCCAAACTGTAAAGATCAAACATGTGTGCTGATGTGAATAAGTCACTTACTGCCTTGTATCTTGTCCCCCAGGTTTGCAGTGGCAGCAGCTTGTGCTGCAACAAAATCCTCACTCTTCCCTCCATTTTTTGTCGTGGCACCTTCCACCAGTGCAGCATCCACTGTCCCCTGCGGTATCACACATTTCTCATTTGTTACAAATAAAGTAAACACGCAATAATCAAACACGTATTCAGAGTCATTTATAACAATAAACACACAGATCCAATAAGACATAGGCATGAAAACCAACACGCAAAACGTGAGCAATGTGCGTCAGCAAACCTGACGAGGGCCAGCCGTGCTGCCGGGAACATCTGGGAGGAGAGCTGGGCCCTCTGTTGTCGCTCTGGGCTTCTCCTCGGCAGCTATGCTTCCCAGCCGTCTTCTTAGCAGCTCCTGTTCATACTCCTCCTTGGAAAGCCTGCACAAGCAAGCATGTTTACACTGTTCATGAAAAGAAAACCTATCTGCATAAAGCCCAGTGGAGGAGAGAAGCACTTGTAATATTTTCTACATAATGCATAATTCGTAAAACATAACTAATTTCATGTCGACTAGTATTGCTATATATGTGCATATATCCAAGGGCAAGAGTCCCTGTTACATGTAAACACGTGAATAAAATTAGCTTTAACATCGACCATATGAGACCATGTGATCTAACACACTGGTCATGCTGGCCACACCTGAGGGCTTCGTGGAGAGACTCGGCCTCACGGCGCTCCAGCATAGACACCGCATCCTCCCCGCCTTCCAGGAGGCAGTCTGGCAGCACCCCTACCAGTACAACAAGAACCAGTCGCAGCCATCATCACACAACCACATCTGGAATGTAATGCTAACCGCGTGTCACGAAATTTTATAAATCAGTGCTAAGCTAATGTACAGTACAGCAGCAAACTCTTTCCAAATGAAGGCAACAACAGCAAGATATATATACTTTTCCAAAACTGCCAAGATGGGTTAGGAATGTCAAGTTGGAATATATTCTTCAGTTACAACTATTGCACAGTGGGACAACCAAGTTAATATTTTTCTTTGGTACATTTTTGTAAACGGATGAACACGCCCACTCACTGCAGGCTGCTTATTTACAAAAGCATAATCCTTTAGCCACTTTAAATCAAACATGCAGACTGGCCTTAAGACTACCTTGGTGCTGGACTATGTCATTCAAGGCACGGCCCTGCATCTCCAGGTTCTTCTCCACCATCAGCTCTTTGAAGGCAACGAAATCCTCAGCAGCCCACACCGGCTTGAACGCACTCTGTGGTTCGGTTAAAGGAATAAGCGCAATCACAAACATTGCCCAATTGTTCCATTGTCACCAGGGTAAGTGTAGTTTAACATATCGGCTTTCGCGATCAATATTTTCCGTAATAGTTGTTTTGGTTAATTACCGACGAAACGTCGTACTCGAATTGTATATGTGGGTTTACTCTCCAACACACAAGCGGTGTGCTGAACCAGTAACTAATTGGCATGGTTTTTTTTAAGTGACAAACCTTACTAATTGGCCGTGTCAATTGGTGGTGGGTTTAACTACGCGTTTATATTCTTGGTTCTTTCGGTAAAGTCACGTACAAGGGAAATAATAAAATAATATAAATATAAAACAATAAAAATTATCACGACGTTTATTGTTTTATATATAGATTATTTTATTATTTACCTTCTACGTGACTTTACCGAAATAACCAAGCATATGAATCCCTGCAGTCACGAAAGCTTTAAATCAAAAGACACGTTTATATTTACGCTTTCTAAACCCCCCAAAAAAATCCTCTATTATGGACTGTACGTTGAATTCACATCAATAACCCAGTCCTCCCAGTTACCATGCACTGAACCGAGTCTTTAGCCACGAGTATTTTCGCCGAGTCACAATGTGGCTCTCAGTCTTTCCATGTCAACGTCCGTGTCGGTGACCACCTGTGAGAGGTCACCGTGGGAAAGAGCTCGATTACAGGCTTCCAGGAAAGCCTCTTCCGAAATGCCGACCTCCTCGCAGTATTCATCCAGCAGATCACCCACCTACACACATCCAGATGCACAGTGCAACGTCAAAAACAAACCACACGGGGATTAAACTAAAATGCAGACGGTGAAATGAAGGCGATTGGTGGTAGTGGTGGTGGTAGTGGTGGTAGTGTAGATGCCAATGGAACAGTGGAAGTGGGTGGCGATTTGCGAATAGGATTGTGGCATTGTGTGGGATGGAGATGGGTGACCTTCATCCCACAGTGGGCCCACAATAGCTGGTAACCATGATCGTGCTAATTTTGTTGACGGTAATAATTGTGTTAATACGCTCTCACCACTATACGGTACTGCCCGTTGATGTTACTATGGTGATGATGTTACTGACTGTGTTGTTTTACTGTGATGTTGATGATGTTACTGTGTTCCTGTGATGATGATCTTGATGGTGCTGCGATTCTGACGGTGATGATGGTGATGTGTTCCTGTGGTGAAGTGCTACTCTGATTGTAGTGATGATGTTGATGGTGTTGAAAATGGTTGGTATAGTTACTGTTATTATAGCGATGTTGATGTTGTTGACGTTGAAGATGGCTGGTGCAGATGGTTGTTACAGTGTTAACTGTGATTTTAGCGATGTTGTTGGTGGTGATGAAGATGCTTGTTTTGATACTCTTACTTTAATTGTGGCGATGTTAATGCTTGTTGATGGTTGGCACAGTTTTACTGCGGTTGTGCTGACGGTGATGATGGTGCCACTTGGCCACCCACCCCATCGTGTGCCCCAACGACAGTCTAAGCCGGAGGATCTTTGTCTTTTCACTCACCACGTCGCGATACTGCCCGTGGATGTCGCTCAGACACAGGGGGTTCTCCTCTCCGGGCTGAAAAACTGCAGACACAGAGACCGCGTGAACGTTACCCCCCCGTCGTCTCCATCCCAAGTCCCCGCGCGTCCCGACTACTTCCCATGTCCCTCGCTCGCCCCTACCCGAGCACTCCAGCTCCATGAAGCGGCGAATCGGCTCGTCCCATCGCGGGCTCCTCAGGAAGCCCACGACGCTGTCGAGCACCCAGTCCACCATGGCAGGGCCCGAGTCCCCGACCAACTCGGTCACCTCGGCTCGGATTCCCCACGTTCCCGCACGTCCAGGTGGGTCCCACCTACCCCCGTGTGACCCCGCCCCCCCGTGTAGCCCCGCCCCCCGTGTGGCCCCGCCCCCTCCCCTGTGTAGCCCCGCCCCGTGTGGCCTCCCTGTGTAGCCCAGCCCCTCATGTAGCCCGCCCCCCCGTGTGACCCCGCCCCCCCCCCCGTGTGCCCCCCCCCCCGTGTGCCCCCCCCTCCCCGTGTGACCCCGCCCCCCGTGTAGCCACGCCCGCCCCCCCGTGTGGCCCCGCCCCCCCCGTGTGGCCCCGCCCCCCGTGTGGCCCCCCGCCCCCCCCGTGTGGCCCCGCCCTGGGCCGCGCCTCCCTCTGAACTCGCTCCCGGCTCGGGGCGCCGCCGCCGCCGCCGCTCGAGGACGCCCCACGTGGCGGGGCAAGGGATCGAGTGGAGCCGCACGGCGTCACAGCGCTGCCCCGCAAGTCGCCTGCCCCACCACCACCCCCCACCACACCGCCACCCCCCCACCACCACCCCCCACCACCACCACCACCTCACCACCACTACCACCCCCCACCAGCACCACCCCCCCCACCCCACCACCCCCCCACCACCACCACCCCCCCACCACCCCCCCCACCAGCACCCCCCCACCACCACCACCCACACACCACCCCCCCCACCAACAACAACCGCCATTCGCCACTAAGTGGCGGTGACGTCACCACTACGCTTGTGCCAGGCCAAGTGCACCTTGAGGCCACGTGAAGTGTCGAACGCCCGCTGGCAGGAGGTCACGGGGCAGACCCAGCAGGTGCCACGGGTCGACTGACCGAGATGACCGAGATGACTGGCTGATGCACCACCTGTGCCCCCTACTGTACCAACTTGCTGTGCTTTAGCCACCCGGTGCTTCACTCGTTGTTGTGAGCGTCGCTTCTCCGCCCTCCACCACCACCCCCCCATCCCCACCACATAAAAATAATGTTTCGGCCATCGGTAGTTGCATGTTTATAAGCAAATAAACCGTGGTCTCAGCAACCTGCAGGCTCGTTAAACAAACAAACACTGCCGAGTTGCAACATATACAAACAATGTGCGTTGCTTGCAGTCACACGCAGTGAAATTAACTGGACCTTAAGGCTTGCCACAAAATAATATTGCAGAGTTTTTGTCTTGGTTAAAGAAATTCTGCTGAATATTGCCTCGAAGTGTGGATATGCTGATGGGCTGCAATATTGTACTGCAGTTAAGTGTGAACACTATTGCACTATTTCACTCTTGCACTAGTCCACTATTTAATTTCCAACACCGCCGTGGCCCAGTCTGCCGGTCCCTACATCCAAATAAACCTCGACTGCATCCCGGACTCTCCCACACTTTCTGACGACTTTAAAATGACTTCAGGGAAAAACAAATCACCGTTTAGAACCTATATTGTCAAATTCAATGACTGCATAAAAATTTATAATAATTCAATTTATAACGCGCGCAAATTTGCGGATGTAATGGCCGCAACTCAGAGGCGCGCAGCCAAGCTCAGAGTTGCTCAAAAGCGCGTGGTTATAGAGGTGAGTTTTTAAGTCTCTCTTGAAGGAGGCGATTGAGGTGATGCTGCGAATGTGCAGAGGGATATCGTTCCAGAGTGTTGGGGCTGCCACCGAGAAGCGGCGCATAGACACGATGACCATCCTGGATCTTGGTATCAAGAGGTCGTGAGTCGCGCTGCGCAGGCATTTGCCGTGTGCCGAGCTGCAAGTCGTCAATAATGAAGAAAGGTACGGCGGGCAGGCAGGTATGAAGGCATTGTGGCAGAGGCAGGCGATCTTGTATGTGACCTTACTGGCGATGGGTAGCCAGTTGAGGGCACGGAGACAGGCGAGTGAGTCGAGACGGGGATGAGTGTGGGCAATGACGATGCGTACCAGGTTGTTTTGTAGTTTTTGAAGTTTCTTTAGGTTGCTAGCGGAGGTCCGGACTAGGACGGAGTTGCAATAGTCAAGGCGAGACCCAACTATGCAACATGCCAATGTGTTGGCAATTTCAGTGGAGATGAGATGTAGGTGTATGAAAGCCTTCAGGTAGGTGAAAGTTACATGAACTGATATGGTAAAAAATTAGGTTCGTTAAATACTTTTTTTGCATTACCTGTAATTGCACGGTGAAATGTAACAGTAAAAATTGGCTACTGGTTTGCCGCACATATAGAAATGTCTATCGAATCATGTTATACCTTTTAGTCAGGTTAGTGTTGAATAATTGACATATTACCCTCTCGACTCCAGATATCCTCCCAGCGGAGGCGCTTCCACAAGCAGTGGCGAGAGCAAGCAATTGTAGGGATGAATCTTTTTAACCGAGAAACAAGAACAAATGTTCCACGCGGTAATCCAGGCCTGCTGCCGTGCAGATTGTATATCCACACGTGCCAATGTCTGTATTAAAATTACACTAGAGTAGACTACCGATTTCTGCGTGAAAATAACCGATTTACAGATTCGTGTTTAACCCTACTTAAAAGATACATCACTGAACTGATGGCATTTATTCCAAAAGTATGTTTAAGGTATTTTTCCTCGAGGCCAGCCCCACGCAAATATTTGTTTTACTTTTTATCACCTGAATATATTCTTTAAAAAAACCATGATATAGTGAAGTTCTGCAGTAATGTGTCTGACATTCCTCTATTGACTATGAATGCACTATAAATTCAGTGTAGTTTTACATCTTTATTGACATTGAATGAAATGTCAGCCAGCGCTGAACAAAAAACACAAAACACTGGCATGTGCATGTACGGTACATCAGGGATTGTAATTTATCAAGCCAGGATGCACTGCTAAATTGTTATTCTTACAGTCTTGCATACAACACACCTCAAATTTTGTTGAACACTAGACTATTACATTTCAAACTTTTAGCTACTTGGCATTCATTACAAAACATTGTTACATTTGAATGTCCTCTGCCAAATGAGTGAACGAAGAAAAAACAAGACAGCTGTGCTGTGCTGACATCACAGATACAGCCCCTCAGGGGTGCCCTCCTGCTTGCGGTACAGCACATTCTCCTTCGACTTCTTGAAATCCTCATTGGTCACCTTCATACGCCTCTCCCGCAGGGCCATGAGTCCAGCCTCAGTACAAATGGCCTGTGCAAAAAAAATTCAAGATCGTTAGCACCACACCAGCACCACACCCGGCCCACATGAACTTAATAACAATGTGCTTCCGCACACGTGCAAGCGAGCATGCGAGAGTGTAAAGGATTGCCAGTCTGTGCACAGGGGTACAAATGGTTTAAGACATTTCGGGGGGAAATCAAGAAGAAAATTGGGAAGACCCTCAAATACTAAACTTTGTCAAAGGGTGTTTCGGGTTGAAGGACTCACCTTGATGTCAGCTCCAGAGAGGTCATCTTTGGACATGATGAGGTCCTCCAAGGTTACGTCATCTGCCAAGGTCATGCGGCTCGTGTGTATTGAGAAGATACGGCGCTTTGTCTTCTCATCCGGCAGAGGAAACTCAATCTTACGGTCGATACGGCCTACACAGATATAATAACAAAAAGTAAACATTAATGGCAATACAAGGCTGTGCCTGTGCTTAAAACACTGCAAAAAGCACGTGGAAGAAGCAAAGTGTAGTGGTAAAATCAATGTGTGATAACAGGCTGACAAGGGCTGATGGATGAGGGAAAACAGAAGTGGAATGTGCAATGAGGGGTGAATTAATTTACTGAGAGGATGGGGAGCAAATCAATCATTGTTTCCGTGGTATCAAAGTGACTGGGTAAACCAACACCAACCTTGATCACTTGTTCTATGTGGAGAACCCATAGGCCAAAAAAAATTATTTTCTTTCAGCAATTAGCAAACCTCTTATGCATGAAACTGGTTAAAAGTCTCGAGTGTCATGGGTGTTCATAAAGAGAGGGGTAGAGGAACACAGCACCTGGGCGAATGAGTGCAGGGTCAAGCGTCTCTATGCGGTTGGTGGCCATGATGACTTTGACGTCTCCGCGCGAGTCGAAGCCGTCAAGCTGGTTGAGGAGCTCCAGCATGGTGCGCTGGATTTCCCGCTCGCCGCCAGAGTTGGAGTCATACCTAAATTACGAGCATACAACGAAGGTTACACGACAACAGTGCTCATGTACTGTACAACAGGCAGGTGTAGGTTTTTAATAGTGGTTTTAAGTACTGCAAGTGTTGGTTATGTAACATCTTATCTCCAACCACTGCACCTAGCTTATGAACTACCCATGCCAGTCAGTGACAATTAGTGGTGGGGGAGAGGGTCCAGGACGAGTTCATATTACTCAACTGAATTCAGCCCCGGCCAGGAAATGTATTCATGTCATCCGTTTCATAGCTCGGTGCAATAACTATGCTACGAGCAGCCCCCCGCCATTAATTTGATAAACATATATTAACACATTTTAAGGACTGAGCCACTTAGGATGTAGTTATCAAATAAAAACTTCACAATATATTAAATGTTTCCGAAAAGCAATTAAAATACATTTAAACTCCCAAAGGGCGATACCAAAAAGGGGTACTCAATTTAGTGACCCTGGTACATTGGTAGTGGTGCCAATGGAAATTATGGTGATGATAGTGATGACAGTAGTGCTGATAACTGTGATCATAGCAACATGACAGACGTAATGGTGATAGGAGTGATGATATTAATGAAAGACTAAATTGGGATGTTATCAAAATCTCCTTAACCCATGTCTATCTCAATATCAGCTGACCTCACCGTTTTATGTTAATGAAAATGTTTATGTTAAGGATCATGTTAATAGTTATGTTGATGGTGGTGGTAATCAAGATGGGTTGAGTTGAAACAGATAATTCCATGGAAAAGTATACCGTAATTGTGGGAAATTGTATAAAAATAAATGGTGTTGTGGACCTCTTTTTGTTTTTCAGTAATTGTTGTTCACAAAATGCTTAATTCTACGAGAAGTTAATACATCATCCCCATACTATACAAAAACAAAGCTATATTATGTTTAGTAATTACTGAAAACTATAGATTTGTTTTAAAAGCCATTTTCTGGTACAGAGCAATGCAGTGCTGCTAAAGGAATGCATCAGCACACGCGGGTGTAGGTGAAGTGAAGGAGAGGCTGCAGTCAAAGAGTTGTGCTGGGTTCAGTCATCATGAGTAAGTGTGGGACAGCAGCCACCTTTTGGTGCCAATGGCGTCAATCTCATCGATGAAGACGATAGAGGGTGCGTGCTCTTCGGCCACACGGAACAGCTCACGGACCAGCTTGGGTCCATCGCCCAGGTATTTCTGGATGAGCTCAGAGCCCACAACGCGCAGGAATGTCGCCGATGTCTGGTTGGCCACCGCTTTTGCCAGCAGTGTCTTGCCTATAGCCCCACACAAGGAACAATTGTCACACTCGATATACAAAATCGATCAACGCCTCCAATACTAGCAGATGCAATGGCACAGCACTGCATACAATGCACTGCCCATTATGCCAGAAGTGTGTGTACATCATATTATGCTCATTTCACAGCACCAATGCAGTAATGCAACCTCTCACCTGTACCAGGCGCGCCATACAGGATGACTCCCTTGGGAGGTTTGATGCCCATCTCTTCGTAATACTCCGGGTGGGTTAGTGGCAACTCCACAGACTCCTGCCGCACAAATTTCAAGGCAACGGATTCTCAAACGTGCTCATGTCGTATACACCACTCGGTGATAAAATTGCTAAATATTGCTTTATTTTCGATAGTCCTGATAACAGAACCTGCTGAGGACTGATCATGAGATATATACGCTCATTCACCACTTGTTTACCATTGCCCCCTTCACAATCAGGATATTGAAGTACTAGTATCCCTTCATGTTTGTGTCTACAAGAAGTGACATGCCTTGATCTCCTGAATCTGTGCATCGAGCCCTCCGATGTCAGCATACGACTCCTGTGGTGCCTTCTCCAGCTTCATGACAGTCACCAGTGGGTCTGTGTCATCGCTCAGCACGCCAACTACAGCGTGCACCTGTACAGCCACACAAACATCACATCACTCCATGTACTTTACATACATTAAATAAAAAATGCAATCAAAATTTCCTTCGAAAGCAGCATTAAGCAAATGTCTTCATGAACAGGCCAATGCCTAATCTGCCCTCCCCTGCAGTGTGGAAGGACAGCCAAATAACCCCATCACTGAAAGCAGAACAGCCTCAAACCTTGTGGTTGAGCAGCACAGAGCATCCAGGCTCCAGCAGGTCCTTATCAACAAAGGAAAGGATGGAGACGTAGTGCTCAGAGCCCACAGAAGTCGACACGATGGCATGGTTGTCGTCAATGATTTCCTCCAGTGTGCCAACAGACATGGGTGAACCACGGAGGTCGTCCACCTTTGACCGCTCCTCCTGCACTCACAACAGAAAACTTGATTAAAACACTGTCGCTGGAAATGCCTCTTTACTATGTTTTGACAGCCCTTTTGTCAAACCACTGTTGGATGATGCCCTGATGAGCGGTTCTTGTAGCACTTAAGCACTCACTAGTGATACAAGCCGTGACCAGGAATATAATGGAGTTAAACAAGCCGACTGAACTTAAGAGTGCACATCCCAGTAAGTTAGCTAATGGATTGTAATATCCGACTTCTCATCTCGCACTCGAAATGCGTAATAACAAAATGACACAAAGACAGGTTACACGTTTTCTGAAAGATATCTACAGCATCACGGTAACATCGATAAAGCAGTTGTATGGTTGTGACGATAAAATTTAGACTAATTTTACAAGCGGGAGCTGCACAAGTGATGTCCTGAGACCTGGAGATGCCGCACCTCTTGCTTCTCCTCCTGGGGTTTGAGACGTTCCTGATTGCGGATGAACTCCTCCTCCATGAGCAGGTAATCCTTGATACGTTCCAACTTCAGCAACTTCAGGCGGCAGTAGGTGTGTGGAGTTACTGCGCCAAAAAATACACGCGAGAGCACATTGGTACTTACACGATCCTTTCACACTATGGGATGCAGGCCAATTACTGCTTCTGTTGGCTGCGATGAGAGGATTAAACTCATGACTCATCAGGACAAGAACACTCATGCAATGGTGATGACCCAAGCAGACCTTGTGGAAGTTTGTTGGCAGCATCTGGCCCCTTCACCTTCTTCTTCTTTTTGCCAACGCGCGTTGGCACTGGCGGCTCATACTTCTTCTTTTTCTCCTGTGGCATCGGGGACATCACATGTCACACACGGGACATCTTCCACCACAACAATGCTCTCACCACACCTTCACCACAACAATGCTCTCACCACACCTTCACCACAACACTCAGCCACCACAACAATGCTCTCACCACAACACTCAGCCACCACAACACTCAGCCACCACAACAATGCTCTCACCACACCTTCACCACAACACTCAGCCACCACAACAAACGCTCGACATAATACATTCACCAAAACACTGACACTCTCACTACCTCAGCATCACCCACTCTGGGCATTACACCAAGCTAATGCGTGAGGGCATAAGTTTGATTCCTAAGCACCAATTACCTTGTCATCCTTCTTCCCACCACCGGACCCGGGCGCTCCTGACTGGCTCTGCCCCTGCGCACAGAAAGACGCAGAGAGGCACAATTCACATGCCGGTGCCGAGACGCTGCCCGCCTCACACCACCACAACCCCGACGCTCAATACAAAAGCCAAAAACACATCGCTCTAGACACGCATCAGACCATATATGCATCACACTAAACACAAGCTAACACCGGCCGCACATCATTCAAGACACAAGCCCACAACTGCACAATAACCACAAGTACTCATCATTATTCTGTCCAAAATCCTACACATCCCTCTATACGCAAGGCCACGGATTAACTATTAACAACTCCACACACTGGGCCCGCGTCACTCTGGACACGACCCCCACACACATCGCCGTGTCTCTCGCCCCCCGGGCCCAGGGCCGTGATTCAGCTAAAGCGCGAGGCCTTGCGCCGGGCTCCTCCTCGCTCGCTCGCTCGCAGGCGGCAGGGCGCCATCTCACACAGCGCAAACCGGAGCAGAAGCGACGACAACACGACACAGATGACCCCAAGCCCACGACATCACGACACAGAGAAGCAACGAGCCACAGCGCGGCCCGTGAGGGCCCCGAAGGCCGAGACGCGCCACTCACCATGGCGCTCCACTTGATCTGCCAAGCACACGGAGGGGGAGATGACGTCACGCGGGGAGGGGTCTGAGTGACGTCACGACGCGAACCGACGCGATGACGTCACGGGCATTCGTTCACCGGATGTCTGTAACGCGATGACGGCGTTGTGGTGATGACGCAATGTCTTCTCGTTCAGCGGTTGTTTGGGTCCCACCGACTGTCACGAGGCAGGCTTCAGACCCATCTCGGTTCTTAAATTGTGCTTCTCTAAATGGAATGCGCGTGTCCGTCCTTAACGCTCTGTATTTCGTTGGACAAAAACAAAAAATGCTTCTCTTGCCGAAGAGATTCACGGAAAATTGTCGCCTTTCTCCAAATAAAAACTATAAACCAATTGAAGTCACAATCTTCCGAATGAACGACTTTTATTGGTATTAATTTATATTTTGAAACTCATTTCCGCCTGACGTCATCGTTACCTTAAGGAACGGCTGCGGCTTCGACGCGATGACGTCATCGACAGGACAGAAAGCACAGGGATGATGTCATCACGCTTACCCGCCTCAACGCGCTGCCAAAGCTCGTCTCTGTACATGACGTCATTCACTTAAATCTAATCTCAACACAGCTGATGTGCACAAAATGCAGCCAGAGCCAACGTTTGCCCACGCTCTGTGGTCCTATATGTTGTACGTTATGGCTGTTGTTAAACTTCTGTCGCACCGTACGTAGCCAACTCAAGACAAAAAGTAGTTCTAAGAAAAGTTCGTTTTCAATCTGGATGATTTAAAAGTGCATACCTCCAGTGGCTTCCTAATATCGGAAGAACGTTCCCGACGGCCGCTGAAGCGCATCTGAAAGCGCCGCGCGATGCAGTGACCGTCTTTGTTCAATGGTTAGCCAAAATCTGCTGTGAGGATGACTGGAGTTCACGTGAAGGTTTATGTTCCTTGACGAGATCAAGGTGTAAAGCACGTCACGCATGATGAGTGCGACCTTCTGTTGTCTTTGTTGAGAAATCGGAATCCAATGCAGCTCGGCGAGCACTGGACGGACATGGTCAGATCTTGCAGTACCCGTCACGACACGTGCCAAAGAGTTTTGTTTTTGCCAGACGTCCCCCGTAGTGAACACCTTTGGATGTACTGCACTGAAATCCAGGTTGTACTGTACTCAAATCCAGGTCTCCCTTGAAAAAGACACCTGGCACTGGCCATATCTGCAAAGGGAAATTCCATTGAAGGATTAGGATTCAAGTTTTCTAGAACTGGTCCCAGGTCTCCACCACCCCGACAGATCTTGGTCCCTCACCACTCACTATTCGCAGTGCAGAGTGCAAACATTTCAGCGAGACTCAGCGAGGCTGTTATTCGGGTGAATATCACAGACAGTTCTTAATTGTTCACGGTGAACCAACTGTGGGTTCCGCAGAGACTGCACACAGCCTTTATTACTACTTTTGTCCACTACAGAATGTTATAAAAAATATACGAACATATGAGAGTACAAAAGGCTACAAATACAAGGCGTAACACAGTCAGGAACACTGCAATTCAAGACCTCACACTAGCCTGGATCTTCTGGTTCATGAACGAGACGCAAGATGTAGGCCCAGCAGAGAAGCCAGCCAGCACTCTCCTTGTGATTCCAACATGGGAGCTGGCCAAAAAACTAATTCCCATTGGTCCTCGTCACACGTGTTTCCATCCACACGACACTTAAAAACATGAAATTCACACTTGGCTTCACATGAAATACCATACTATGGCTACTACCAATTACGCAATCTAACCAGATACGCGGTGGGTAGTTGGCTAGTTTGTTTATTCTGGGTGGGCAGACTAACTTCTAGTGACGCTGCACCCACTGATAACTAACCCATGAAATATAAAGAGGTACAGCACTGGCAAGATCTGTGAGGTGGCTGATAGGGCCAGGTTGGCGGGTCAGCCGGGGGGGGGTGGGGGGGTTTGCATCTAAATATGGGGAGCGGTTCGTGGTTCAAGAAGGCACCCAGGCGTTGCCGTGCGAGTCTGGCGCATGCGTGTAAGGGATGTTCCAGATCCATGGTTTGTCTGCAACAAAGAAACACAAAAGTTGCACACAGCAGAGGGAAACAAGAACGGTGGTACACCGCAACAACATGTGGTGGCATTTAGCGGCACGCAGCACACTGCGGCACACAGCAACACGCGGGTGGTGGTACATAGTGGCAAACAGCAGGGCCGTGACTCGTAATCTGCTCAGCTTCACATGTCGCTTGGACTAAACTAAATATGGCGGGATTTTTTTGTAATATCTAAAGCTTGTTCATTTGCTTAACAATTTGGACAATGTCCAAAGTTATTGAGGCATTAAATGTTGATTTAAAATGTTTTCTCTTGACTTCGAAAAACCTCTCAGTCCAACTTGATGTGGGAACTTTCGTGTGAGTGTATAAACCTCCAGGTTTAAGAACGACATTCTAAAACACCTCTTTAGACAACAAGCAGTCAGCTGCTCTGCTTTTCTTGTGTTTCCCAGCAACAAAGGTGAATTTGGTACACAGGTGAGCGAGCCTAAATGCCTGCTTAAAAAGGTCAGCTTCAGAGCACTTGCACGAGGACCTCAACTTGGACAAGAATGGCAACAGCAGCCAACCCCTGAATAGAACCCCATCCCGACAGCACTCGGGCACTGTGCCAAGCCGTCTGCCCCATACCACCCAAAAAATGGTCCTACCGTTACTGCCATACGGCACTGGCGGCAGGTCAAAGGGCACCGGGAAGGAAGGAACAACCCCCTCAGCATCTTTCATGACTGTTCCTCGTCCCACAGGAAACCATTTTGCACTTGGGTTCTACTCGCGCACACACAGACACACACAACGGGCAAGACCACATCAGAACAGTACACACAACACACGAGCACACGCACGTGCAGAAGCACTTGCACGGTGTTGGAGTGTGGTGCAGGAGAGGGGACGTACAAATGCAGTGGGAAGATAGAGGACTCCCAGCTCGTAGGATCGCACCATCAGCTGGTTGCCCCTTTTTTCATAGCTCCCCCATGCTGCCCTTGACAGATTGGCACTTGCACAGAAACAAACATACACACACACCTTACTATATACGTCTCTAAAACAAATGCCCAACTCTTAAAATCAATATTTAAAATAGCTGAACCATTTGGCACACATGCCTCCTTATCACATGTCCGTCAAGGTAAGTTACAGCGAGTTACAGTACGTTACCTGCATCCTTGAACACTAGTTAACCGACTTGCAGGATCTGGCAGAGAAACAGCTGCTGTGCTAAAAGACTGGGGCAATCACTGCCAACAATGATCACTGGCAGCAATGTATTTGCTGTGAGCAACTATGGCGACTTGGTACGGCAATGGCATGGGGTGACAAAGAGTTCTGTCTAACCAATGGAAGAGGTAGGTTTGGTGAACAATGTTTTAAAGACCTTAGTTACTCACATGACCTTTGTGACCTGTTCAGAAGTTGCCTTCCCAGTTTCCCAGTATGGGAGACAGCTACCATATTCACCAGATTAGCATAAATAAATGTTTACAACGGAAAGGGGTGTGGCAACCATGGCCAGTAACGATTGCCGTAGAATTTATCTCGAGTTAAGCCTGAACAGCATCGCCAGAATTTTTCAAAAAAGCTACCACACCCATACAAATAGGGAGCACCTAAATTTCGATTTAAAGCTTTCGTGACTGCAGGGATTCAATATTCTTGGTTCTTTCGGTAAAGTCACGTAGAAGGGAAATAATAAAAGGAAAACTATAAAATGCAACACAAGCAATCATCATCAGGTGTGAAAACCACCTGATGACGATTGCTTGTGTTGCAATCGAAACGTCGTGAGAATTTTATAGTTGTATTATTATTATTTTATTATTTCCCTTCTACGTGACTTTACCGAAAGAACCAAGAATAAGGAGCACCTAGTTTAAAAACTCATTGAGCAGTATTCTCTATCAACCACAACATTCTGAGACTTAGGACCACCAGTCCCCATTCGGACCTCAACTATGACAGCTAAACCAGGCTTTGCTTGCAGTGCAATTGGGTTCCTGTCTAGGCACTGGGCATTTCAACTAGAACACAAAGAGGGCTCGAAGCTGCTTCATTCTACCTGGTGAGCAGTATCCAGGCGAGCTTGGTGTAGTCCGGTGAGATGCGTAGGTACGTCTTGATGTGGGGGATTGCCTGGGTGCGGCCACATGTCTCAGACAACCAGCGGCTTGCCAAGGGTGCATTGTGAGTTTGCAGGAGGATAAAGGGAGGGAAATATCATGGCTCAAATTAAATTTACTTCTAAATCTAGACAGCAGAGATGAATGTACATATTACTGTGTCATCAAAGAGTATGGTACTATAACGATGGGTGTCAGGAGACCAGTATGTCTGAGCGTGAGCCAACGTTCTAAAGGGTAGAATAGAGATTTCATAACACGTTATTAGTTCTCGCTGTGTGCCTGGTAATAAAGTAGCACAGCCGTAGCTGCCACGATCTATTGAAGCACAGAGCAGGACAATGCTGTGAACTCTCACATGGAAATGAGCAAAAGTGTGTGCACACAGTTGTGTGCATCCAGAAGGATGGTGCGCGATCTTACTGAAAGTACAAGTGCAGCCACTGCTGCTTGCTTGCTGTCTGGACGCTGTAGGGGAGGGATCCACCAGCTAGTCATCCAGAGAGGAGGCAAAGGTGGGGAGGTTGAATTACTCACAGACACAAATGACAACACTCGCACTCATATAGACAACAACAACGGCACACACATAGACTCAAATCAACAGACAAATGGAAGCACAACAACACGCAGATAGCGTAGTAGGATTTTGCGGTTGTGCCATGTAGCTTCTCCGATGTGCCCAATGTGTTTCTGAGTGGTAACGTGTTGTGTTCAGCAAAAACGATCACTTCCTGAAGAAGCTCGCAGCATATGGAGCGAAACGTCAAGCATCATGCCAAACAACACACGGTACAACCTAAAGACACATCAGTGAGCAACACACTTAAGAGTCAATCCAATCCAATCTGGCAGACACATCAACCCACACACTCACACCAACACACAAATAGATTCACATTAAGAATATTCACAGACAACACTCACAATCAGTAATGCACACTGTATATATATACATACAGATAACTAAGCCAGCCAGATTGGATACATTTCGTATCGATTCCATTGTTATTTGCAAAAAAAGCCTGATGTTTATTTTCATGGAGTTTCCCAGCTAATACTGAATGTAGACCATGCACCGCTTTGCCAGGACTAGGAGGGTAGGACGTTACAGCACAGGGCTGTCATACCCGGGTAACCCTCCAGGCTCATCCGCACATTATCCACAGTAGGGTAGATCTGAGCATAACAGAAGCAAGGGGAGGGGGGGCACAGGGAGGGGGCACAGGGAGGGGGCACAGGGAGGGTAGCACAGGAAGGGGGCACAAGGAGGGGGGCACAGGATGGGAGGCGTATACTCACATCGCAGGTTCTCACTACATTTTCACGAAATAGTTCACAAGTCATTCACAAGAGTAGCCCATTGTGTGCTGACATCATGATCCAAATATGTCAAACTAGAAAAAATACCAGCAAATGACTCAATTAGAATAATACAGAGGAATCATCGCCCCTACTGTGAAAAAGCTTGGCAGGATGCTACTGAAAAAGTCATGAGACTCAATGAAGCTGGGCTGAGAAAACAAGCACAATAATAATGAGAGGTGGGGCATGTCTGTTGCAAATTCACAAATAATTCCCCCCAGGAGTGCTCCTATTCTCTTGAGCGGTGCGTGGTTTACCAGCTTCAGCGGTGTGCGATTGAAGCTGTAGGTTGGTGAGCCACTCTGGCCGAGTGTCACAAGGCTGTCCTGAAACTCGGTCTGCAGCCACCGGTCGCTATCTATCCCCATGGATCCAATGCTGGAGAACTGGCCAATGAGAGGCCACTGTTCATTTCCTTCCTCGACAGGGGATAGGTTCTCGCGCAGCAGCTGCAATGTACATGCACACACACGTCTGCTTATAGTACAATCCTATACCCTCCCTACACACACACACCTCTCTATACAATACACACACCTGCCCATATTCCACCCACCACACTATACAAATGCACCTCCCCTGGCATTAGAATCCAGACGCACACACATCTGCTTCTAATACACCTATATATGCCCAATGCACACGCATGCGTGTGTTTGCATGGCCGGCATGGATGTGCATCCCGTTATTCCAGTTGTACATTACCTTGCGAAGCCGAAGGTGACCCCAGTTCTCCTTGTTGTCGCCTGAAAAGCGGCCTGGGACCGAGCCAACCAGGTATACCCTGCACACAGAAAACCACCAATCCAAGCACACGGCAGTGATCGACTATAACAAACCACCACACGCAAAGCCACCAATCGAACACAGCAGCTCACACCAGCCATCAATCAGATGATACCGCAGCCATCAATCAGAAGACACCGTCACAAAAGCCATTAATGAGAACGCACCGGTGCATGATAATAGAGGTGGCCGCTGACCTGACCTCGGAGAAATCGTGTTGCTGTAGATGCTCAGCCCAGCAGGTGACCGAGTGAGAGCTGTAGGCTTTAAGGTACGCAATGAGGTCCTGCTTAAAGCCCGTGGGTGACTCGCCCTGCATCTCCGGCAACTCTCCGCTTGTTGACAGCCGAGGAAGCATCGGGCTTAACCAGATGCTGCAGACAGCAGGACAGGCGTTTGGCATGAGCTCAACACAAATGCCCACATACAATGAATACTGAAACTGTGGACAAGCACCCACCCCTGGGTTTTCTGATGCCAGTCTTGAAAGAAGAGGTTGGATGTGTGGATGACCACTCGCATACCCTCTTCATACAGCAGTAGCATCATCTTTCTGCAATGCACGCCAACAGGGGCAAGGGGAAGAGCACGTCGCGTTACGTACTTTCCCTCCTGTGGTAGGGGAGGAACATAGGTGGATACAAAGACCCCAAGGCAGAATCCGCAAATAGCGAGAGTGCAAGTATGACACATAGCTAACACCGTCCAATGGGACACCGTTCCCAGCGGACTGAGTAGAGGCCGAATCACATATCTCGTTTTAAACCTGGCATAGCCTTTATGCGGGACTGCGCGTCACACACACAGCTTTCAATTGTGCGTGCATTCTAGATACTTACGTATGATGCGTCCCAAACATTATGTCCAGTTTTGCCTGAAAAAAGACAGAATTTGTGATAATGATGAACATAAATTGTTTAACCAAACAGCTAGCTTACAAAGTATATACTGTACAAATATCTGTCCAGCAAGTCTCCTGACACAGAATACATGTGCACATTTAGAAATGTGAATTTACAAACAAACGCTAATTTACGTGAAGTCACTATTGATATATCTTTTTTATGTATGTTGAACTTCTTTTGCACTCTACATAAACGACCATTCTAGTTGGAGGTGCGGAAACCATGCTAATCGGAGGTGATGATACCATGTTGATTAAAATATAAAACATTTAATGAATATGTGAAGCCTGCTTACGTGGTGAATATATCTGGTAAAAGTACTGACTTCACAGATCAACATCGGTGATAATAAAAAATAAATCGACGTCCAATCTTTATCTCCAAAGCGGTCAAACTTTTGAAGCAAATACTGCCAATCTACCAGATGTTATGAGCATCAGAGTGCATAATGAGTTTTGTACAATGTAGTTTTGTGCTGACAGGAACCTGTTATTTGAAAGAAGTGCCTTTATGAAAAATAGCTGATAAGCCAACAGTATATATTTAGCAAGCCTGACTACTGATACAACCTAAACGGTTGAAACCAGTCAAGTTTGATTGCTTTTCTAATGCTATTGGTTAATGTAAGGCCAATAGGCTGACTGACAAAAACATGTTTTTTCTGTGGCTATATGCAATGCGGTTAAATTATTTTATTCCAGAAGAATTAATGTTTGCCTGGCACTGGAGTATTGTCCACTCAATTGGGGGGAGTAGACCACATTCTTGCTGTTGTGTGACGGTTGGAAACACATTTCCTCATTACCATCTGCTGCTGCTACTGCTGCGGAGGCCCTTATCAACATTGTATCACCTTTATCACACTGAATACGATAATTCTTATTTGTGGCCTCCCCAAATACTTCAGCTAAAAAGTTCAAATGATCTAGCATGCCGCTGCCATACTTCTCATTCACATCCATGAGCAAGACAAGATCAGGCCAATATTCCAATCCCTCCAATGGCTGCAACCAATACACGTGAACTACAAGATCACCCCTACATCCTCAAGGTCCTACAATAATTCACCCCTACCTCCCCCTTCTCGTCTTACTCTACACGTCCCAGCAACAAAGGCCTCCCTTTCAAAAAACCCAGTCAACCTCTTCGCGATGAGAGGTTGTTTCTTCTCTGCTGCTGCCCCTTTGTCAGGAATTTCCTTCCACTTTCTGCGGAAAAATACCAATTTCCTCCCCCTTGTTTCAGTCCAGGCTCGAGACTTTTCTGTCTTCCTCTGCCTGTGACTTTATCTCTATATGAAGTGTCTTTATTTGCACATTCACCAGACTGTCATCTTACTTTCCTTTCTGCCCTGTGTGCCTTCTATTTTTCTTCTCCTTTACCTCTGAAAATTTGTAAACATAAATAAATGTTCTTCAAATTATCTTAATGGCACACATTCCGAATCTTGAGGTTCAGTTGTTTTTAGATGCTTTATAATCCAGTGTATGATATAAAACACTGGGGTAGACTCACTTGGCACAGCGTTACATTCGGGTAGAAACTGGCAGCTTCGAAGAGCTTCGCTTTGCTTGCACGCTGCTCGCCATGCACCAGCAGCAGCGGCAGGGACCTGCTCACAATGAAAACGTGTGCCGCAGTCATCCAGACATGCATTGTGGACACAGACACTCGCCCTTCAGCACATGAATACAGCTCAAAAGATACCGCAAGCGAAGCACCGCATTGACAAGTACATGGTTCACAAGTTCTAAAGCCACGCAAGGGTGGTCTTCCATAGGCATCAGACTACTCCATTTATCTGCAGGGACCATGAGGTCCAGGCTCCCGTCCCCTCCACTCACCGGAACTCCACTGGGTACTGCTCCATGAGCCACGGGATGTCAAAGCAGTAGTTAAACTGTGACAAACATGTTGGAAGAATTATCATTAGACCACAGCAACTTGCATACAACACAAATGGGTATTCAACATTCACAGATTATTGTTTAAATCTTTACATTTGCTATACACAGCAGACATTGCAAAACATATCATGCATATTATGCTCTTGTAGGGCACTTGACTCACAATCCGAAGCTTGCGAGTTCAAATTCTCATCAGGTGTCAACTAAATCTATTGTCCCTCTGGGTTCGATAAGATGAGTACCACCCTGTGGGAAATCAACAGCGGTGCATCCGATGGAGAGACTGGCTCCCACCACGCTAATGTGCAATTTTTAACACGACCATAAGGCCATCAGAGGAGACGAACATTGTTATATTTCTTGTTTCAGCCCACACACACTCTGGTCCAGGAAGAGACATTAAATATTCACCTGTGCAGATTTCTTGAGTGTTCCCATAAGTGGCGATAAAATGTCTGGTGCACAAAGAAAACGCAGAATTAGTTGTTATCCCTAGGATTACCGAAGTGAAATGCACGTGTTGTGCTGCGATAAAATGAGGGCAGGGTCAGGGAACCAACCAGTGATGTGCAGTGCATGACTATTCATCTTCTTCCCAATCCCAGCCACTCTGGTGAGAAAGAAATACAGTGGAGCCGCCTGCTCCAATGCCTCGATCACGTCCTGCGGCGGCAGCGGCTCCTGCGGCTCCTGCGGCACCAGCAGCTCCCGCAGCTCCCGCAGCTCCGGCTCACGAGGGGGAGTTTTCTCACCGCACACGGAGTTCTCGACGACAGGAACCACGCCGCTATCCAACCCTAGTCGCTGCCTCTTGTGCTGGGAAGTGGTGACGATGCCCTTATCCTCCGTGAGAGAGGACACGGCAGCCTCCACGCCACCCAAGTCGTTCTCGTCTTCACTGTCCGACACCGTCCAGCTGTTGTCGGCGCACGACGGCTTCTTGCGCTTGTTGGCTGCGCTGCCTGCTAGCGCCGGCAGGGAGGGCGCGATGGGAAGCGGATTCGCTAAACTCTTTTCACCAAGGGATCCGATCTCAGCCTCTGGGTTCGCAGCAATCTCTGTTTCATCCACCAAGGTCGCATCCGAGTCATACTGTGGCTCCTGCGTTCCTGCTCCTGCCTCACCTTGCCTGCGTGGTGACATGTCACAGCACATCGACATCAGCTGAAGGTGAAAGGAACGGTATTTTACCCCAATGCACCATACTTATTTTTACAAATTACGAAATATCAGGCGTAGGCATGCTTAACAAAATGTTTTACATTGCGCGTTTTTGTCTTCGAAAGTAACTCATTAGCAATATGGACATTTACGGTTAGCAAGACAGAGCAAAAATCATTTGCATATGTGCAAATAATGAAGGCTTGTTTTGGGCATCTGCTTTGTCAGTTAAACCGGTTTTTGATAGGTTAAGTCGCATATAGCAACACAACTTTACATAAAAGTTGCATTGATATTGAATCATCATAATGAGAGCTACAGTGTCACCTCCCCCCACCACTCACAATAGATGGACAGAGAGTTTCTGAGGCTTTCAAACTCAGTTGGAAGGTGAGTGTTCAAACACAGTCTGAAAATGGTAAAATGGTGCAACGGCAAATATTTGGTACACGAGTGATGTCAGCCGTGCAGCGTGCGTTGCACATTCGTTTACACGCTCATTGCATGCTCTACCGGCAGATGACAGCAGTTTGACGATTAGTTCAAGACGGTACACGCTCTGCACGAGGGGTGTGTGAGCTGCGCGTTAACACCGGCAGGAATTACCAGGACTCGGCTGGCTGCCTGCCGCTCGCTGGTGCCACCGCTGACTCCACAGTCCGCTCCTCGTCATCACTGCTGGAAACCGTCCACTCTCCGTACCGGCTTGCCATGGCGCACTGCCGCGTTGTGCTGGCACCTCGCTCGGTGCTTCCTCCTCGTCACCCTGGGCGATTGATAGTCACTCTCACATTCTTTGCATCCAATCAAATGCGACGTGAAGGTTAAACGCCTTCCACGCACTCGCTATGAACTCGTTGGTCGATGACAGTTGACAATAACAATGATGCGACACCACCTACACACACACTCACTCAAATAAGGAATGCATCGTGAGCCTCGGTGGCACCCATGCTGAGGCCTTGCCAGGCAAAGCCACCTGACACAAGTTGACTCCACCAATGACCTCTCATCTCTAACCTGATTCACATCAGCCCTACCACTCACCACTGAACTCACTACCTAGCTCACCACCCTCACCCTTAACTCTAATCCCCGAACCCTCACACCTAACCTTCACCACCCATGCCTCTAACCCTCACCACCCTCCGTAGACGTGCCCCGCTTACCTCTCCACATCTCACACTCCTCTCCTCTTCTCGTGAAACCGCACTACTGGATCCGATACATCACTTGGAACTTCACAGCAATACTGCTGATGCTGCTGTTATTGTTTAGAGGCTAAGCATGTAAGTTACCATGGTAACCAAGCTGTTTAACCATCTAGCACGTAGGTCGGTAACCTTTCAAGGAAGAAGAGTATATGTTTTGTATTTGTCTTTGACCAAAATAGTTACAGAGCCGCATCACACGCAGAGCTACTTGAACACAAACATCGCTCGTATACAGCAGATGACAAACACATTCTGGTGATGGAATAAATTGCGTCTATTTCGTTTTTTCCCCACATTTACTTATTCTTTAACAATATTTTGACCGTACATTTTGTCCTCATTAAGACATTCCATAGTGACCCATCATTCCCTGCCATATTTGATCTACGTTCAATTGCGTTTAAGATTTAAGTTTCGTTTTTGTATTTCAAGGGGGCAGCCGAAGAGCCGCAAGGGAGAAGCCACACATCCCGAGTCCCCCGTGAGCTCTACCCATCCCCTGTCTCTTGCCTGTGAAGAATCCTCAATCGCATCCCATTCAACATGCAACGTCTGCGCAGACGCCCCACGCTTACCGAGATCCCACCGTCAACAAACACAAAACACACAATTATGTCCACGTTGCAGCCCTCGTTGTGGGTCAATCCAACCGCCGCACTGAAGCCAACCCCCCGTGCCGATCTCAGGTGACCATACTTCCAAGGCACACAAGAGGCACGGTGCGATGGGGGTGGGAGGAGAGGCTTTGTTGCGCTGCCCTCTGCTGCCCAACTACGTGGGCTCAAGCAAGGGGGGGGGGGGGAAATGAGGCAGCAAAACGCGAGTTGTGGTGCACGATGCCAGCCCCATGCCAGGCGACCAACCCCGCCGAGATTCCGAGACTCGACGGGGTCGGGACGCGCGCGCAGTCGCCTCCCGCGTGTTGAAGGGCTCCGCGCCTCCGATTGGATACGTACGGTGCGAAAGAAGTTCGCCGTGCACGCACGCACACACATATATACGAGGGTTGGCTGCTGCTGCAGCTGTTGCATCGTTGACGCCAGATCGCAATCGCGTTGCGATCCACCCCCCTCCCTTCCTACACCCCCAATCCTCACAACCCCCTCCAATCCTCACCTCCTCTCCATTCACCCCAAATAACCCCGAAATCCTCACCCCCAAATCTCACCCCCCCCCCCCCAATCCTCACCACCCCCTCCCCCCCATCCTCACCACCTCCTCCCCCATCCTCACCACCCGCTCCCCCCAAATCCTCATCCCCTCCCCCATCCTCATCCCCCCCATCCTCATCCCCAAATCTCACCCCCCCCCCATCCTCCCCCCCCCAATCCTCACCACCCCCCTCCCCCCAATCCTCACCACCCCCTCCCCCCCATCCTCACCACCCCTCCCCCCCATCCTCACCACCTCCTCCCCCATCCTCACCACCCCCTCCCCCATCCTCATCACCTCCTCTCCCATCCTCATCCCCCCCATCCTCATCCCCAAATCTCACCCCCCCCCCATCCTCACCTCTCCAATCCTCACCTCCTCTCCATTCACCCCAAATAACCCCGCAATCCTCATCACCAAATCTCACCCCCCCCCCATCCTCCCCCCTCCCATCCTCACCCCCCCCCCCAATCCTCACCTCCTCCTCCTCCTTCACTCTCGCCGGGGCCACGCGGCTCGTCACTCGAGCAACCGGCCGAGCGCTGCTGCTGCCGCCGTCGTTGTTGTTGTTGTTCCCCGGGCCCCACTCACAACCCCCACCCCACACACACCAACCACACACACCAACCCAGGCCTTCGTCTTGCACGGCAAGAGCAACTCAACTGCGAAGCGAGCAGCAGGCAAAGAGGAGCGGGAAGGGGGAGGTGGGCGCGCAGACGGCCGCCGAGTCGCAGGGGGTCACGGAGAGCGAGAAAGGGGGGCCTGGACCCTGGGGGGCCTGGACCCTGGGATCCCTCCCGATTTGACTGCGCGGCCGCCGCTGTGCGTCGAGGCCGAGCTTGCTCCTCTTGCACCCCCCCCCCCCGCTCGGCTCCCTCTCCTCCTTTCGTGGCGCGGGTCCTGGCGGCCTCTGCTGGTGGGAGTCGGGGGTTTGGTGTCGGGGCGGTGGAGCTGAACGTGGGAGGGAAATGCGGATTCCAGCTCCTCTTCAACCGGACGACGTAGTCGTCTCCACCAGTGACCGGTGGACATCGGCGTGGTGGGAGCGGGGATCCCCAGCCACCGCTTCTGTTCGGCCGAATAGATCCCCGGGGGCTAAGCGGGCATGGCACGGGAGAGAGAAGAGATGGACTTATGCGTTACAGAATGTGGAGTTGATTGGACTTGCCGATGACTGGCACCAGCTGTGTCAAGATCGGACACTGTGGAGGAGCTTTCCTGAAGGACGCTGCTGGGCAGAGGAACGACGGGCGGCTAAAACGCTAAGTTGGCACAGCGGGGAGCACAGTTGGTGCATCTGCCAACCATCTCGCTAAACCCATGGCACCGAGTTCTATTCCGTGATCTGCCAGCGGGCGACGACACTTCACGTGGCCTCAGAATGCACCCAGCATGGCACAAGCGCAGTGGCTACGTCACTGCCACTGAGTGAACGGCAGTTGTTGACGGTGGTGTGGATACGGGAGATGGAAGGGGGATATGACGGACGGTGCAATACCTGATGGGGCATATAGGTGGTGGTAAGGATCATGGTTGATACTTGGAATGGTGAAGTGCATAGCACGGTATGGACTCGTGTCACAACTGCTTACACCTTCACATTTATTTTACCAACAAATTTTAAATGTAAAGGCATGCTATTAAATACATTTAAAAATACTTGACTTTAGTACATCTGAGACATGAAACTATTTCAAAAACGTTGCATAAAAACTGGCAAAACAGCCTCAACAAGAGCAAACACTCCCAATGGGGGGGGGGGGGGGGGCAGCAGCTTGAACAGGTCGTCAGAGACACGTGCGTACTACTGGCAACAAAGGCTGTCGCTGCCAGCACCGTTTGGAGCTGTAGTGTCTATAGAACTGCCTGCGCATTTGAGAAAGGTATGCTCTGGGTCGACTGTGAATATTTGAAAACTTGTTGCAGTGCTGCAGCGGTTACTATAAGTACACTACAGTGCTCCGGAAAAGCTGTAAGAAGTGCTGTTTGGAGTGGTTGCCAATGAGGTACTCATTGCCCTGCAAGCGGGTGGCAGTTTTCATAAAGCGACCACCTGGATTGCAGGGCCCAGCCTGCCATTTGTAACGCATCTCAAGTCTGTTCAATCCACCCACTTTTTTTGCCACAAACAATCGAACAATAATGCTGAAAAAGAACACAACGTAAAAATGTCATTCCCAGTAAGATCAAAGTAAGTCTAAAAAGCGTATTTTTTTAAATGCTTAAAAATGTACAAGTTGATATACTACATATGACTACAAACGAAAAATGCTATATAAATGCACAAGTGGGCAGTGAGGCTGCACATGCCTCCACTCAGTCAATGCTTTGACGAGAGTCCAGGTGCAGAATTCGAGTCGTGGGACCACATAAAAAAACTGCAATCAAAGCTGAAAGTGTCCACACATGGTGTACACACAATAAATTCCATTTTCATGTGTGTTAGGCATTTCTTGTTTGTTGACAATAGTCTGTTGAACAGGAATCCAGCTCCAGCAGGCATCTTGGTGAACACTGCTTCACAGCAACAACACAAAGACGAACAGGGCGCAGCAACACTTCTTGCAGGCACCATCCTCCTTGTCTCTACTCGCAAGTTATTGCGAAGTACTGGTGACACCTCATAGGCTGAACAAAACAGCTTCCCTTATAGTCATCAAATCTTCCCGATGGGCTCAGAGAAAACTTTTTTTTTCTGTCCAGTGATGGAAGCATACACAAGCTGTTGCAGTCAAGATTTATAACAGGAGAGGGAGGCTGGGCAAAGGCTGCCCCACCAAGGAAGATTCCAAGCCAGCCCACGCAGTTAATGGGCATGGACTAGTTGTGCTGCAAGGTGTTGGACTCGATTGGAGGGGCAGAGTCGTACAATGTATCCGTGTCATGCGTTGGCTCCCCTGCCAGTGTGCATGGGTTTGACAACGTGCCTGCACCGCAGTCGCAAAAAAACCTGACAAAGGCACAAACAATACACGATGAAAAACGAGTCAACTGCTTTACAAGCAACTGTAGCTCATCTCATACACCCTCTAACCATAGAATTGCAATGATATTCATGTTACCAAATAAGTGATGCAGAGCACAAGTCAATGGCAGGCACTACCGGTCATGGCGAATGAACTCCACATCGTGGCCCTGGTGGCATTTCTTGATGCAGTTCACACAAATGGCATTTCTCTCCGTTGTATTACATGTGTGGCACCTGCAGAGGACAGGGGAATACGTCATTTCTTGTAACTACAAACGATGCCCACCAACATAACGCAGATAAATATTTCATTAAAGTCAAACTGAAACATCTACCTTCTTAAGCTATATGGCAATGTTCATCTATATTGATGACCCTGAGCCAATGGTAAAAAGAAACCTGCAATGTCTCAAAATTCTTATTTCGTTTTAAAACATATGCTTGACATGTCCAGTATTATGTATCTTCAAAGGGGAATTAAACGCAGAAAACATTGGCAGAGGAACATAATGTTTAGTGGTGGGATTTCTTCTTGATCAATGTTCATAAGGTAAGCAAGACCTCTGTTGAACATTTTACCACTATGCACGACCCTCTAGAGAATGTTACCACCCTTGAGATATGCATCAACTTAGATCTGCTACAGAGCACCGCACGCATTCAGATGCACTTCTACGGCCATCTGGAATACACTTCCTTCCAATATTAGGAAGCCAATGGAGCTGTGCACTTTTAAATCTAAATAGAAAACTATTTTTGTTAGAACTTTTTGTGTTTAGTTTGTCCTTCCTCCGCACCTCCGATTAGCACGATTGGCTACGCACAGTGTGAAAGAAGTTCAACATACAGAATGTGCAGCTGTGCTTTAACTCAAAACAGGTGACAAATAGGGGGGTGCAGCAGCAGTGTTGAAAGGAGTAGGGCTCACCGGTAGAAGTCGTGCATGGGGTAGCTTGTGTAGCTGGAGATCTTATAGAGGCACTGCCCCCTACTTACAGCTTTCTCAATGGCATCTTGGTTGTTGGCTATTTTGTTATCTATTTAGTATCAAAAGACAAAAGCCCACACAGGCATCAGATTACTCATTCATCAAGAGCCATTATTACATCTTGACTTAAAGCTTTCGTGACTGCAGGAATTCATATTCTTTGGATCTTTCTGTAAAGTCACGTAGATAGAGGTTCAAAGAAAATAACAAAAATGACGACCGCTTGCGATCGAAACGTCGTAGTTTTTTGTTATTTTCTTTGAACCTATCTACGTGACTTTACCGAAAGACCCAAAGAATATAGCCATTATTCCTTTACAAAACATTATATTAACTGTACAATAAAATTACGTCTAAGTATTTTACAAATCAATTTACAATTCTTATCCTTTGGTACCAAACCTATCAGTTTGTGCACAGGTGTTGAGGACATGAAGAAGCGCAGACACACGACAGAATTCACCTTTCATGTTCACGATGACACCCGATGCCAGAAAGAGGCCACCAAACTTGTTATTGAAAATCTGGTTTCCTTCCAGTGTGGCTGTAGCATGATTTGTTATTTCAATTCCTATAAACACATAACAATCACGTGAATATGCATTATCCCAATATTAACTTAAGGAAACAAAATGCAAATAATCTGAAGGAATATAATTTATATTAAAATATACAAAGATTTGCATATTTGTATATTCTAATACAATCGGTTTTACCTCCTATGAGCAATTCAGAAAATGTGAAAGCCCTAAAGCTGTATGGCAAGCTGCTGTAATCTGAGAGATGTACAAAGCATATTTAACTTAACATGTCAGATTTGATGACAGTCACGATACCAACAAGTCGAAATGAGCTACCAGATATGATTAACAAAAAAGGCTGGAAAGTTGTGCTCAAGATTAATGAGTAAAACCAGTCATGAACAGATTTTTTTCTAAACAAGACAAAATATTTGCTGAAGGGACCCTATTGTAAAATGCAAGAGTATGTCTACTCAGAGCAATTATTGAAGGTGAATGGTGATCAAAACAATGAAATACGAGTGCAATGGCAGGTTGGAGTGTCTTTGTAAAACTGAATATGAAAATCAACATACAGATGTATCTATAGAAGGTTTTCAATCAGTGCGTATTTCCTACTTAGACATATAAGTTAGAAACATTAATAAGAAAAAAGTTAAAGCTCAAAAGTGCACAAAGCATGGAGGGGTGCACGCTTACGAGACAAAAATGGGACCATATGGATCAGAGAACAAACAGAAATGAGACACCATACTGATTTCAGTGGGATCCGGCACAAACATGTTCTGAGGATGGATAGCTGATGGTCAAGGCTGGTGATTGAATGGCAGCCAAAGCATAACACCCCATAGGAAGCCCACCGAGAAGAGGGATGAAATCACACCATGTGCACGACCAAGTTAGATTGCTGCATAGAGACTTTGTGGGATGGCAATGTATCCATGCTGAACTTCTTTCACACTCTACATAGCCAGCCGTGCTAATCAGCGGTGGTAATGACTTGAGGCCTTCATCCAGCAGTGGATAGATTAGGGCAAATGTAATGTAATGGGTGAAGGTACGTGATACACGTTTTGCAGTGTTGTTTAGGATGACTGTTACCTGCCCAGGAGCAGTGGTGAAAGGATATGTAATACAGGTATTGGTTAAAGTTGGACCTCATCCACTTTACATAAGAAAAATAGAAAACGGAACATTACCTGCTGCAAACCCATCAAAGATGCGGTTTTTGCGGAGGGTGGGATGGCTGTTGGTACTGACAAGCACGCCTGCCTGTGCATTTCGAAATATATCGTTCTCTTCCAGTATTCCTGAACAGCCAACATCACGCACATCACTCAGTATCTCCAAATGCATTTTCTATCATTGGCTGGATGCAACTGTTCACAATTAAGGTTAAACGTTAATAAAGATTAACAACATTTCAGTGTGTGCCGAGAGGGCTGGGTGGTAAGCACAGAGCCAGCGCTACTGAGATCCTAAGTTCAAATCTGGGTAGATGCATGTCATTAAACACAATTCCCAATTGTAGCAAATGAATTATCCCAGCCCGGTCATCAATGACTACAAATAAACCCATTACGTTGTATCACTCTATTGAATCGACTTCAGCCCTGAGAATTAAAATATTGGTCTAACTCCTAGCAGTGTTTGGGAGAAGTGTGACACTTTTGTAAATAAAACTTTTGTAAATATCAAACGGTCACTTGTAAGATTTTTCAGATGACATGTGAAAATCTATCAAGTAAGTCATACACACGGTTAGACGGCTCTGCAAGATTTATGAGTATATTCGTTGTCACATTAAATGACACGGATAGCACACTGGAAATAATATGGGGAAAACACCAAAATATATATTGCAATAAGTAGCTGGGTGTGGTGTGTGGGAAGGTATAATATATATGCGTGCACATAAGTAAGTGCATGTTGTTAGGTGCATGCACATGGGGTAGGTGTAGTGTTTTGTGTTCTTGTGAGTGTACGTTGGTTGGTTTTTTACGTATGTTGGTTTTAGCGTGTAGATGCATTTGCGGTGTATGTGTAGGTAGGTGTATGCGTGGTATCTGCAGCAGCTGGCACACCTCGGCCACCATTGAAGATACAAATGCCTCCGTCGCGACCATCGTGGATCTTATTTCGCCGGAGCGTGGGGTTGCTGTCTGTCTTAATCCAAACGCCTGCCATTGCATTGTCAAAAATCTCATTGTCCTCTATAACCCCCAGACCTAAGTGAGGGCAGAGAGTACAACACAGCAGCAGGGGGAAACACCTTCTGTATTTGTCTAAACACAACACCCAAGGGTATTTAAGTTCTATTTTAAAAAATCCCCCGGATTAAACATCATTTATAGCAGGTGTTAGTCCACCTATCTCCTTTGTAATAAAAACATATATAAGGATTCCCTTATTTTATTGTATGATCATTTTTCATATTGTTTAAAATAAGAGTTGTTTCACTCAATGAATCAGAATAACAGTGAGGGATGACCTACCAGAGTTGTACACCAGAATGCCTCCATTCTGTCCACCCCAGATTTTGTTTCTCCTAATCTTGGGGTTACTTCCAGTTCTGTGGTATATGGGTGACAGACAATGTTACATTCAGTAACATCTAAATTAGGTATCTTAAGACAAAACACATCACAGCCTAATTAAAGACATCAGTCAGCTCAAGACTTGCACCACACGCGGTACAGATGGACTGTGCGATTTACCTGATCTGCACACCAGAGTACATGTGGTTGTAGATGTCGTTGTCTTCTAGAACTCCATGTCCATTGTCATAAAAGTATACTCCAACCTTCACACAAAACATGCACAGCTCAACTAACCACAATGTGCACCATCTGCCGCTGGGAACAGCAGACAACTGTTTTGACATGGTATATCATACATGACCACATTATGGGGGAATTGGGAGCTAAGACATTTGTACAGGTTTAAGAGAATTGCAAGTAAATGCGTTTCATACAGAGGCCCACAATCAAGCAGCACACACCACCCACAAGCTCCTTCCTCAAGACCTCCCCCGAACGACAGCCAAGTTGCTACACACCTGCTTGCCAGAATGGATGCGGTTGCGGCGCAGGACGGGCGTGCTCCCTGTTGTCACCCAAACCCCGGCTAGCGTGTTGCTGTAGACCTCATTCTCCTCGATGACGCCTTGTCCCTTCTCATGCTGCCACATGCGCATACACACACACACCATATGCCATTACGTGGCCAACGATTTGTTTAGCCATGCTTTCTTAACCTCATTTCACTTTTTACAACAAACATCACAATGGCACGGCAGCATCGGAAATATGTTTGCGGAGCTTACCACGTAGATGCCACCATGCTGCCCGTCATGTATTTTGTTGTGGCGTACTATTGGGCCGCTGTTTGTTCGGATCTGGATGCCGGCGAGTGCATTACCTACAGTCAAAAACACAACTTGTACTTCCGTGCAATACCAACAAACCTTATTAGCTTACAATACATTTCAAAATTCAATAAGTGATTGTAGCCAGGTCTGTAATTCACAAACCATAAATATCGTTGGCTTCAATAAGGCCTCTTCCTTCTCCAAAGATATACACTCCCCCCTGGTTTCCATTGAAGATGGCATTCCCTCTGGAAAAATACAATTTCATGGACTTAATCACAATGCACCTCATGACTGAATTACACATTACTCAAAGTGAACATGAACTTGCAATTCATTAAATATTTAAATGAATTATTTTGCTGCTAAACATTTCCACACAAGCCATTTGTGGCCATGTCGCTTCTGAAAAAGAAGCTAATAACTTAGTGAGATTTATCTGGTAAGATAAAAAAATGTTTAGTTTTATTTGTATATTTTTTAAAGTGATTTTTTTTTTACATTTCCTACACTTTACGCTCCGAATGTATATTTGTATTATTTATTTATACTGGAGGAATCCGATGAGCTATAAAGCTCTTTTTCAGAGATGTCCAGTAGGGACCGGTCAGAATGTTGCAACAACAAACAGATTTAGGGAAACAAAAAACGAGTGGCCGCCCACTAATAGCTCCAACTGGCACGAAGGTATACACGCTAGCTAGAGCTAGCGTGAACACCACCAGTGAATGTATCCCTTTTGTAAACATAAAAGTGCAGTCTGCTGAGCAAATGTGATTCATGTAAAGCTGTGATCTCAGTACCGGATGGTGGGGTCACTGTTGGAGGTGACCCAAACGCCGGCAAAGTTGTTGCTGTATATCTTGTTATCGATGAACTGTCCGCGCCCCTTCTCGTGCACGTAGATGCCGCCCGTCTGTCCGTGGTGAATTTCGCAGCGCACCACCGTGGGATTGGCGTACGCCTTCACTTCGAAGCCCGCTATCCGGTTGCGGTGGATGTTGCAGCTGTCAAAGTAGCCCTGCATAAGAAGCTCTCATGAAGCACATGCACAGCCTAACAAGCAAGCAGCTCAAGCCCAGTGTCATTCCAAGCACACCTTGCAGTGCAGCCCAGCCTATAACCCAACGCCCACAACAATTGTAATGAGAAGATCAAAGGAAAGAAGAAAGTGGATTGAAATCACCAACCATGCCATGGTCGAAGGTGAAGACCCCAACGTCACGGCCATGATGAATGTGGTTGCGGCGGATGATAGGGTTGGCATGGTTCTTCACCCAGATGCCCGCCAGGGCATTGTTTGAGATCTCATTGTCCTCATAAGTGCCCTGGAAAAAAATTACATCAACCAGTCTATCATCACCAACCTTATAGCAAATTAAATCTTGGTATAATACGAAAACATGTGCTCAATTCCCCTCATCTATCTATATATATATAAAAAAGGGAAATGTGTGAATATGTGTCTGTCCGAGATGTTTAGCATACTTCCCAACATGCAACAAGAAATTTGGCATGTGGGTAGCTTCCAGACTTACACAAAGCAAAAAGTATAAAAAATTACTTTTGTATTTTGGGGGGGGGGGGGGCGCAATAATGGATATCTGAGTTGCGGCCACTACGTCTGCAAATTTGCGCGCGTTACAAATTGAACTATTATTATTATTTATATATTTTGCACGGCAAGTGAGCGGTGACGTCACATCTGTGATGTCACCCGCATGCGGCAGCGTTAAGTAGTGTGCCTGCTGACGTCACGCATCCCCACTCTCCGCGTAGGCCGTGTATTAATCCCCAAGACAAGAATCCAAGTCTCGGGCGAAGCCGGGTAGTAAAGCTAGTCACATTTAAATGTATTTTTGCCCATCACCATCTGGCTTTTCACTCTCCTTCTAACCAAATACAAAATACCTTAAATTTTGACCTAAATCTTTCGAGACTGCAGGAATTCATTCTTGGTTCTTTCGGTAAAGTCAAGTAAATAGAAAAAAAAAACTAAAAAAAAATTTTTCAAATAAAATAAACATGATACATTACACTATGGGGACCTCATTTGCCAGTAAAAATATGATAATTGGTTCTTTACCCTTCTATCTGGCAACAAAACTGACACCCTTTTGCAAGGAGTCATGTTTGCATAGACCGCAATACCTGCAGTCATAAATACAAACAAAAGACATAACTCTGATAATGTGCACTGTCCCTGAAGTTGATTGGTCCACACCCGAGACAGCTTTCCTTCGAGCCTAGTCTCATATGGGTTGGACCAGATGACGCCAAAAGGCGCACAACTCAAGGACAATGCACCATCAGAGTATGAGAGCTCGGGGCAAGCATCTACACTATGGGGACCTCATTTGCCAGTAAAAATATGATAATTGGTTCTTTACCCTTCTATCTGGCAACAAAACTGACACCCTTTTGCAAGGAGTCATGTTTGCATAGACCGCAATACCTGCAGTCATAAATACAAACAAAAGACATAACTCTGATAATGTGCACTGTCCCTGAAGTTGATTGGTCCACACCCGAGACAGCTTTCCTTCGAGCCTAGTCTCATATGGGTTGGACCAGATGACGCCAAAAGGCGCACAACTCAAGGACAATGCACCATCAGAGTATGAGAGCTCGGGGCAAGCATCTACACTATGGGGACCTCATTTGCCAGTAAAAATATGATAATTGGTTCTTTACCCTTCTATCTGGCAACAAAACTGACACCCTTTTGCAAGGAGTCATGTTTGCATAGACCGCAATACCTGCAGTCATAAATACAAACAAAAGACATAACTCTGATAATGTGCACTGTCCCTGAAGTTGATTGGTCCACACCCGAGACAGCTTTCCTTCGAGCCTAGTCTCATATGGGTTGGACCAGATGACGCCAAAAGGCGCACAACTCAAGGACAATGCACCATCAGAGTATGAGAGCTCGGGGCAAGCATCTACACTATGGGGACCTCATTTGCCAGTAAAAATATGATAATTGGTTCTTTACCCTTCTATCTGGCAACAAAACTGACACCCTTTTGCAAGGAGTCATGTTTGCATAGACCGCAATACCTGCAGTCATAAATACAAACAAAAGACATAACTCTGATAATGTGCACTGTCCCTGAAGTTGATTGGTCCACACCCGAGACAGCTTTCCTTCGAGCCTAGTCTCATATGGGTTGGACCAGATGACGCCAAAAGGCGCACAACTCAAGGACAATGCACCATCAGAGTATGAGAGCTCGGGGCAAGCATCTACACTATGGGGACCTCATTTGCCAGTAAAAATATGATAATTGGTTCTTTACCCTTCTATCTGGCAACAAAACTGACACCCTTTTGCAAGGAGTCATGTTTGCATAGACCGCAATACCTGCAGTCATAAATACAAACAAAAGACATAACTCTGATAATGTGCACTGTCCCTGAAGTTGATTGGTCCACACCCGAGACAGCTTTCCTTCGAGCCTAGTCTCATATGGGTTGGACCAGATGACGCCAAAAGGCGCACAACTCAAGGACAATGCACCATCAGAGTATGAAAGCTCGGGGCAAGCATCTACACTATGGGGACCTCATTTGCCAGTAAAAATATGATAATTGGTTCTTTACCCTTCTATCTGGCAACAAAACTGACACCCTTTTGCAAGGAGTCATGTTTGCATAGACCGCAATACCTGCAGTCATAAATATATGAGACTAGGCTCGAAGGAAAGCTGTCTCGGGTGTGGACCAATCAACTTCAGGGACAGTGCACATTATCAGAGTTATGTCTTTTGTTTGTATTTATGACTGCAGGTATTGCGGTCTATGCAAACATGACTCCTTGCAAAAGGGTGTCAGTTTTGTTGCCAGATAGAAGGGTAAAGAACCAATTATCATATTTTTACTGGCAAATGAGGTCCCCATAGTGTAGATGCTTGCCCCGAGCTCTCATACTCTGATGGTGCATTGTCCTTGAGTTGTGCGCCTTTTGGCGTCATCTGGTCCAACCCATATGAGACTAGGCTCGAAGGAAAGCTGTCTCGGGTGTGGACCAATCAACTTCAGGGACAGTGCACATTATCAGAGTTATGTCTTTTGTTTGTATTTATGACTGCAGGTATTGCGGTCTATGCAAACATGACTCCTTGCAAAAGGGTGTCAGTTTTGTTGCCAGATAGAAGGGTAAAGAACCAATTATCATATTTTTACTGGCAAATGAGGTCCCCATAGTGTAGATGCTTGCCCCGAGCTCTCATACTCTGATGGTGCATTGTCCTTGAGTTGTGCGCCTTTTGGCGTCATCTGGTCCAACCCATATGAGACTAGGCTCGAAGGAAAGCTGTCTCGGGTGTGGACCAATCAACTTCAGGGACAGTGCACATTATCAGAGTTATGTCTTTTGTTTGTATTTATGACTGCAGGTATTGCGGTCTATGCAAACATGACTCCTTGCAAAAGGGTGTCAGTTTTGTTGCCAGATAGAAGGGTAAAGAACCAATTATCATGATAAATTACATTTTTACAAATATTATTTTAAAAAAACCCACGACGTTTCGATCGCAACACAAGCGGTCTTCATCAGGCAGAAAGAAAAGAGGGGCAAGCCTCCCAATGTAGCTGCTTACATGTTTTTTTAATGTGATTTTTTTTTCTATTTACGTGACTTTACCGAAAGAACCAAGAATACAAAATACCTTGTTTTGAAAATTCTGTTCCTACTTGCATCTTGGACCTCAATGACCCCTCACATCATTCCCACTCGGAGGCTATGAAAGAATACTATCATCACTCTAAACTCCTTTCAATTTCCACACAATGGGAGGCCACTCGTTCTTTGTTGCCCTAAATCTGTAATGGTCTTTCCTTCCTCTCAACAATTTAAAGACTAATGGGCTACCATTCTTCTGCAGCATAATTACTAAAGCTGCCCTAATCTCCGACTCCTAATTATACTATGTATGTCATTTGCGAATATTTTTTCTTAGATTGTGGTTGCCACTGTCATGTACATAATCTGTCCGTTGCTGTTATACTGGAATGCTGTTCAACTAAATGGACATGACTATAAGTAACATTAACGTCCGTACAAGAAACCAAATAGTTCACCTGTGCATGGTCGGTTATGTAGAGCCCCACATTCTCACAGTCACTGATATTGCAGTGCTTAATGGAGGGGCATGCTCCCTGGCCACTTACACAGACTGCTGAGCCCACTGCGAACATGAATGTAAAACAAGTATTACAGACCATTCAAACAATTAGTTAACATTTTTTAAATCAACATGGCACATGTATGTATGTTGAACTTCTTTTGCAACCTACATTGCCAACCGTGCTAATTGGAGAGAGTGGTGGGGGGTCAGGACCATGTTGAGGCACCTTTGCCTCCCAAGTTGCCAATGTTAACAGACATCACAAATACTCATTCAAATCTGAGATCATGACCTCATAAACATGCCAACAGCAATGAGTGTAAGTTCCAGTTGGAGCCCAGCTCTCTGTGACCTGAGTGCCATATGTAAACCACATTATTGCCACTGCAACCAATACCCACTACGACTTATCATCAGAATAGGTTTTTTGGCTTTTTTCTGCCAACAAAATTGCCAGAAATAAAATATTTAAAAATACTTTTTTTTAAACACGCTTTAATTAAATGTACCATACTCGTAATGGCAGAACTCCACGACTCCAGGAAGTGGTCCCGCAGCTTGCCATAACGTAAGGGACCATGGTGATTTACAAGCAACGTGAGTTGAGCGTGGACAATTAGACCCGTAAAAAAGATTGTTTAAAAAAAAAATGTCATTTTTAATGATAGAATATAGTATTGTCATCAGTATGACAGACCTATACCAAGTTTGCAGTCGATACGACATTGGGAAGACGGTTGAAATTAAGTTACAAGATTTGAGGATACGACAACAGTTAAATAAAAGTGTGTAAAATGTTTAAAATATTTTTATTTTATTTTTTATGATAAAATATAGTCTCGTCATCAGTATGACATAAGTATACCAAGTTTGCAGTCGATAGCACATTGGGAAGTGGTTAAAATTTGAGTTACAATAAAAGCGTGTAAAAAGGGGAAAAACCTATTCTTATATTTTGGTACTGGCAAAGGAGGTCCCATGATACGACTTATCATGTTTCATATTAAATGCATTTCACAAATCACCTCCATAACACCTTTATTTTAATGAAATGCACGTCCTTACATATGTTATCAATGATATGAAACCCAGCACAGCTACTCATCGCCATGTTTTCTTGGTGCCATTCACGCACCAGTGCAAGTGCTGCGGATGAGCGCGTGTTCAATGGCAGGACAGCAGTTAACCGTGATCTCCAAGCAGTGGTGAGCATTGTGGTGATTTCCAGACTTGTCCTCGGGGTTAAACTGTGAAAACACCATGCACGTAAAATTGTCTCATCTCCATCAGAGACCGTTCCGATTATAGAGCACACATTATACAAGGGTCTGGAATAGTGTACCTTGATGGTGACAAAGCCAACATAAGCATCTTCCGAGCCTTCCATAAACACAAACGTGGAGTCCCTCGTGTTCTCGATTATCACTTTGTCCGCCACCTTGCCTGGTGCTGGGTACACACATTGTAAGAGACATGTAAACCAAAACAAATGAATGAAAATCAGCACAACCAACCCAACATGACATTCGCAAATAAAGCAACGTATATACTTTATACACAACCATGCATGCATTTGTATAATAGTTGCAACTGGGTGGATGGTGCGGACCGGCTCCGAGCAGCGTGATGGGAGACTCCACATAGATCCACTCATCGGTGTAAAGTCCCGAGTGCACCAACACGAGGCCATCAAAGTGGCCCTCCTGTACACCTCCCAGTGCATCCTCAATCGTGTCATAGTACTGCAGGCGCAGACACACAAACACAAAAGTGGAGAGGCTGCCAACACAGAACATGATGCACAGGCACAATCCCATGCAATGGTGATTAATCGCTGTATACTCATGGCAAACGAGCAAAGCTTAGTGAGCATGAGAGAGGGAGACTATATGGCATGCGAGGTCTAATCACATGCTTCTTGGTTAAGTTGAAATGTTGTTGACAAGGGGGATAATTTTAGATTACAGTACAGTGTCATATATGCATATTATGGAAATTTCGAAAGTTTAAAGTGGTCAGAAACTTATCTGACAACTCATCAGTAAGTTACAAACCAATAGGGGTAATCATTCAGAAGCATCTCGACAACACAGATTGTGCACGTGTAATTGCTCTGTTTGGCCCTATTCAGCAAGGAAGACTTAACATTCTTTCAGCATATAAACACTGGTTCTAATATATTCAGGTAGCTACGCAATTTGTTATGCCATTACCTCCCAATGCCGAAGATACTAAAATGCAGCTGCAGTACATACTCACCAGCATATTTTCCCGGCCCTTGTACCGTGCAGCATTGTTGTAGAAATGTTCAGCAAAGCCCGGCTTGACATGAGCTCCTTTATACTGTTAAGGCAGTGCCATGCAATCATACAAAAAGGCACACAGAGACAAACACAACATCATCATAAATATATCCCATATGAAATTTAAGTATATTCATACAACAGATGTAACCCATACTTTGTATGATATTCACAAATCGTTTTAAAAGTAGAAATAGCTACTTAAGATAAATAAGCCACTACCTGGATTACTCGATAGAAAGCAACTAAGTGACAAGGGTAGTCATGTCAGGGTGAGAATTCACTAACCAGTTGCCGGAAGCTTTCCTTCCAGGGGTTGGCATTGTCATAGTCGTCCGGATGAATCTGGAAAAATTTTCCAGGCTCGGGGTGCATCATGGGTAACGTGTACTCAAACACATCTATGTACAATTGCTTCCTGCAAGAGAACAACCAAAGAAAGGTTATGCCTCATTCTGTTTACTCAAATAAACTGATCCATCACCGGGTGGAATACATGAGGCGGTATGGATACTCACCAAAGGATGGGGTCACTGGCGAGCGTGCTGAAGCGTTTGCAAACGCAAGCAACACGGCAGAGATCCTGCTCCAGCAGGTACGAGAACACCTGCAGAACCACCTCGTCTGGAAGCTTTTCCTGAAGGTAGCGTTCTGCTGGGGCTGGGGATCCAGAGGATAGACTTCTCACTTCTCACTCAAAACCTCAGCAATTATTCCATTAGCATTAAAATCTACTTTTCGAACTGAGATGTCATCGGAAGTTATACTTACGAGCAGGTTCCTGTGTCTTGCCCGACAACCGTAAGCGCTTCGTGCGATGGCCCATGTTCTCACTACTTGATGTCGGAGATGTCTGAAGACAGTGACAAGAAAAATGTTCACCTTTTCATTGCTTCGCAGTGTGATAGAGACCAGTATCTGCTAGTGAATAGACACCCAGGCCACTATCAGAACCCCAACCTAGAGCAGAACAACCTTTAGTGAATGGATGTGCTCTGATAAAAGGCCATTGCCTGAAACTTTCCAATGTACTTTTCCTTTTAAGGCAGTGTTATTGACGAATGTGTTGACACTTTGACAATAAATGAAATAGGATTATTATACAGGTCGTCCCCGAGTTACGATGGCCCGACTTTCGATGGCGATAGCGATACGACAAAATTCCCATCAACAACCTAACATCGTTCAAGTATGCAGACGACGGACAGAATCTTGGCGAGTACAGTACAATATGATACGTTACGATACGTTCAATGCATGTATGGCACGTAGCTTTAGCAATTTCATTTTAAGGTTACCACAATACGATAAATGCATGTTAAAAGTGTTTATAGCAGATAGGATTTTTCCTGAAAAAAATTCTATTCAATTGCAGTTCATATAGGTAGGCTAAGAATTTACCTTGTTTTCTTTAGTTTACATTTTACTGTGCAATACAGTATTGTAATTCATAAATACATACAGTATATAGTTTATACAGTACGGTACTGTAAATTGCTCTGTTTTGCTAAATTATCACCATTCTTTACGACTCCTGGGTAGGCTAGGCCATCTTCGACTTACGATATTTTCGACTTACGATGGGGTCGTCGTAACGCATCTCCATCGTAAGTAGAGGACTACCTGTATTTTCTTACCTTGAGTTGGGAAGGTAATTGTTTTAATTTGTTACATAAGCAGTTTGTGTCCTCAAAGCTTGTGCAAATAAACACTCTGCACAATTTACTTAAGTCCAAATAACAATTTCAAATGGGATTTGATGCAATCACGGACTACTGATGTTGTCCCTCCAGGGTGATGATAATGAGTACCATTTGGCAAAAAGAAAACAGTAAATGTTTTATGGATTGAAATCACCCCAACCACAGGAATGTAGAATTTCTACCAATGGCTCAGGGATATAAATGTAATGCTGACTGCATTGTGCTTCATTAAGCAGACCAAGAACCCAGCCAAATTGGTATTCGGGTGAGACAATCCCAAGCTCCGGAAAAGAATCCATCATACAAGCGAGACCATCAATGGCACCAGGATTCTCAAAAGGTACTCGCTTAGTCCTTCATAATTGGTATCAAACCTCTTATCCACCCACCAGCTACACATCAGACCCACACCTCTCCCATAGCAAACGAACATCAAGATTTATGCAAGGGCGCACACGTGTAAAGTGTAAGACTAAGAATTTGAAAAGTATAGCGCCGTGCATGGTCATGTAAAGTGGTGTAAATGTACAATAGTGTGGATGTAGTGGTGTACAGACGGCTTGGTACCTCGACCTCGCCTCGAGTCTGTGAAAGTGGTCGTTTGGGGGTCTGAGATTTCCGCCTCAGCTGGTAAGGACTGTTGCTCTGCCCTCCAGCAGCTCCGGATTCATCACCCACTGGTAGAGGCATTGGGGCTGGGGCCACGTCCGCTGCAAAGAGGAAAACGAATCTTAAACACCTTTATCTGTCTGCATAATCAACCGATTTGCTAAAGGTTTCAATTTATCTCAGTACATACATATTGCATTAAAAAGAAAACTCAATTGTTTGAAAGTCTGGTCTAATATAAGTGATTGATTCTCCATGAGATGGGGCATTCAGACCACAATTTTGGTAGGTGTGGACTGAAACCTCGAGTTCAGAAAGTATGGAACATAACAGTTCAACATAATGCAGGGTAAACTAAAAGCTCACCGTTCAGGTTTTAAAGCACGTTAAAGATGCAAATTCACACGTTTTAAACATATACCTGCATTGAATTTTCGCTTGCAATGGGCCAGGATGTACATTCAGGTGTCACCTTAAAAAGACCGAACACGACTATTTGTGGCACTGAATGGTTGGTATAGGCTGTGTGAAGCAGCTAGTGGATGAATCTGTTTGACCAGGACAAACATACAAATACATCCACTGAGAGATGTATACGGGACCGACTTGATTAACCACACACGAAGTTGACTCGCCAACAGCCCAAATGCAATCATTAGACCCGAGCTCGACTCACCAGTCTCCATATCAAAGCACCAGAGCCTGATTTGATTCACCAGAACCTGACTGGACTCACCAGAGCCTGACTCGACTCACCAGGATCTTACACGATTCATCAAACCCTTACTCGACTCATCAAGCCCTGACTCGACTCACCAGAGACTGACTCGACTCACCAGGACCTGACTGGACTCACCAGAGCCTGACTCGACTCACCAGACCCTGACTCGACTCACCAGGATCTTACACGATTCATCAGACCCTGACTCTACTCACCAGAACTTGATTCGACTCATCAGGACCTGACTGGACTCACCAGACCCTGACTCGACTCACCAGGATCTTATACGATTCATCAGACCCTGACTCGACTCACCAGGATCTTACACGATTCATCAGACCCTGACTCGACTCACCAGGATCTTACACGATTCATCAGACCCTGACTTGACTCACCAGGATCTTACACGATTCATCAGACCCTTACTCGACTCATCAGACCCTGACTCTACTCACCAGACGCTGACTCTACTCACCAGAACTTGATTCGACTCATCAGGACCTGACTGGACTCACCAGACCCTGACTCGACTCACCATGATCTTATACGATTCATCAGACCCTGACTCGACTCACCAGGATCTTACACGATTCATCAGACCCTGACTCGACTCACCAGGATCTTACACGATTCATCAGACCCTGACTCGACTCACCAGGATCTTACACGATTCATCAGACCCTTACTCGACTCATCAGACCCTGACTCTACTCACCAGACCCTGACTCTACTCACCAGAACTTGATTCGACTCACCAGGACCTGACTGGACTCACCAGAGCCTGACTCGACTCACCAGGATCTTACACGATTCATCAAACCCTTACTCGCTTCATCAAGCCCTGACTCGACTCACCAGAGACTGACTCGACTCACCAGGACCTGACTGGACTCACCAGACCCTGACTCGACTCACCAGGATCTTACACGATTCATCAGACCCTGACTCGACTCATCAGACCCTGACTCGACTCACCAGGATCTTACATGATTCATCAGACCCTGACTCGACTCACCAGGATCTTACACGATTCATCAGACCCTTACTCGACTCATCAGACCCTGACTCTACTCACCAGACCCTGACTCTACTCACCAGAACTTGATTCGACTCACCAGGACCTGACTGGACTCACCAGACCCTGACTCGACTCACCAGGATCTTACACGATTCATCAGACCCTTACTCGACTCATCAGACCCTGACTTGACTCACCAGACCCTGACTCGACTCACCAGGATCTTACACGATTCACCTGGACCTGACTTGACTCACCAAGATAGGACTCGACTCACCAGACCCTGACTCTACTCACCAGAACTTGATTCGACTCACCAGGACCTGACTGGACTCACCAGAGCCTGACTCGACTCACCAGGATCTTACACGATTCATCAAACCCTTACTCGCTTCATCAAGCCCTGACTCGACTCACCAGAGACTGACTCGACTCACCAGGACCTGACTGGACTCACCAGACCCTGACTCGACTCACCAGGATCTTACACGATTCATCAGACCCTGACTCGACTCATCAGACCCTGACTCGACTCACCAGGATCTTACACGATTCATCAGACCCTGACTCGACTCACCAGGATCTTACACGATTCATCAAACCCTTACTCGACTCATCAGACCCTGACTCTACTCACCAGACCCTGACTCTACTCACCAGAACTTGATTCGACTCACCAGGACCTGACTGGACTCACCAGACCCTGACTCGACTCACCAGGATCTTACACGATTCATCAGACCCTTACTCGACTCATCAGACCCTGACTTGACTCACCAGACCCTGACTCGACTCACCAGGATCTTACACGATTCACCTGGACCTGACTTGACTCACCAAGATAGGACTCGACTCACAAAGCGCTGACTCCACTCATCAGCACCTGATTTAACTCACCAGGGCCGACTCAACTCATCAGACCCCGACTCTACTCACCAGGGCCTGACTCAACTCACCAGGGCCTGACTCAACTCATCAGCACCTGATTTAACTCACCAGGGCCTGATTTAACTCATCAGCACCTGATTTAACTCACTAGGGCCTGACTCAACTCACCAGGGCCTGACTCAACTCATCAGCACCTGATTTAACTCACCAGGGCCTGATTTAACTCACCAGCAACTGATTTAACTTACTGGGGCCTTACTCGACTCATCAGAGCCCGACTCGACTCACCAGGGCCTGAGGCGACTCACCAGGGCCTGAATTGACTAACCACAGCCTGACTTTCCTCACCAGCAAATGATTTAACTCACCAGGGCCTGACTCGACTCACCAGGGCCTGACTCTCCGACTCACCAGAGCCTGACTAGACTCGACGCAAAAGGCTCCGGAGCTCGACTCGAGGAGGGGCTGCCTCGACTCACCGGGGCCCCGACTCGACTCACCGGCAGCGAACGACTCGGCCAGTGCCTGGACCCCCCTCCCCGACTCAACCCGGGGTAGAGTGGGGGGCCTTGGACCCCCCCCCCAACCCGGGGTGGAGTGGGGGGCCTTGGACCCCCCCCCCCCCGACTCACCGGGGGCGTCGTTAACCTCCACGGCGGGACGGGGCCTCGCCGCCCTCCTCGTCCTCCTGCCCGCGCCGCGGCCCGAGCTCATTGTGCCCGAGCCGCTCCTCCTCCGCGCAGGAGGCGGTGGTGGTGGTGGAGACAGACGAAGAGAGACGAGCGAAGACGAGGAGGAGGACGAGGTGTTGGTGGTGGTGTTGGTAGAGACGGGGTAGAGACGTTCAGCAGCAGCACAAAGCGCCGAGCTCCACGTCGGGCATTGGGTGGGGGGAGCTGCCGAGAGCTGCGGCGGCGGCGTGGGGGGCGATGGGGGAGAGCTTCCTAGGGGAGCGGCTGTCGGGAGGAGGAGGAGGAGGCGCTGCTGCTGTAGCTGATGTAGCTGCTGCTGCTGTAGCTGATGTAGCTGCTGTAGCTGCTGTAGCTGATGTAGCTGCTGCTGTAGCTGATGTAGCTGCTGCTGTAGCTGCTGCTGTAGCTGATGTAGCTGCTGCTGTAGCTGATGTAGCTGCTGCTGTAGCTGATGTAGCTGCTGCTGTAGCTGATGTAGCTGCTGCTGTAGCTGATGTAGCTGCTGCTGTAGCTGATGTAGCTGCTGCTGATGTAGCTGCTGCTGTAGCTGATGTAGCTGTGGAAGGAGCCTTTGACTGCCTACAAGTTGTGGGGTTGTGGCAGCGGCTACGAGGGGTCCGGGAACTGTTGTGGAGCCTTTGCAGGCACTTAACGCCGCTTATGGGAGACGCTACGGGTGCCAATGGCTGCTGTGGGAGCTGATGTACTGGCTATGAGGTCTCCCCTATAGAGGCTGCTATTGGGAGCTGTGGCTGCTGTAGGAACTGCTATGGGAGCTGATGGACAGGCTATGAAGTCTCCCCTATAGAGGCTGCTATTGGGAGCTGTGGCTGCTGTAGGAACTGCTATGGGAGCTGATGGACGGGCTATGAAGTCTCCCCTATAGAGGCTGCTATTGGGAGCTGTGGCTGCTGTAGGAACTGCTATGGGAGCTGATGGACGGGCTATGAAGTCTCCCCTATAGAGGCTGCTATTGGGAGCTGTGGCTGCTGTAGGAACTGCTGTGGGAGCTGCAGTAGAGGTTTCGTTGGTAGCTGTGGCTATGAGAATTTGCTGTCGAGGCTACGGGAGCTGTTGTAATAAGCTGTAGGGACGATGGAAGCTGATGTGGGGGCTATGAGAGCTGCTATATAAGTTGTAGGGGCTGCTGTGTGGTTTTGATGGGAGCTATAGGGATATGTGAGCTGCTGTAGAAGCTGTAGGGGCAATGGAAGCTGTGGGCTGTAGTAGCTGCTGTAGGGGATATGGCAGCTGCTGTAGGAGCTATGAGAGCTGTTGTAGGGACTATGTGGGCTGCTGTAGGAGCAGATGGTTGTGTAAGCTGCTGCAGGGTCTCTGGGAGCTGCTGTAGGGACTATGTGGGCTGATGTAGCTGCTGCTGCTCTCGGGGCTGCTGTAGCTACTGCTGCTGTAGGGACTATGTGAGCTGCTGCTGTAGGGGCTGCTGTAGGGACTATGTGGGCTGCTGTAGCTGCTGTAGGGGCTGTGAGCTGCTGCTGCTGTAGCTGCTGCTGCTGTAGCTGCTGCTGCTCTAGGGGATGCTGTATGGTCTATGTGGGCTGCTGCTGTAGCTGCTGCTCTAGGGGCTGTAGCTGCTGTAGGGGCTGTAGCTGCTGTAGGGACTGTGAGCTGCTGCTGTAGCTGCTGCTGTATGGACTATGTGGGCTGCTGCTGTAGCTGCTGTAGCTGCTGCTGCTCTAGGGGCTGTAGCTGCTGTAGGGGCTGTAGCTGTAGCTGCTGTAGGGGCTGTGAGCTGCTGCTGTAGCTGCTGCTGTATGGACTATGTGGGCTGCTGCTGTAGCTGCTGTAGCTGCTGCTGATCTAGGGGCTGCTGTAGGGACTATGTGGGCTGCTGCTGTAGCTGCTGTTGTAGGGGCTGTAGCTGCTGTAGGGACTATGTGGGCTGCTGTAGCTGTAGCTGCTGCTGCTGCTCTCGGGCTACCGGCGGCGCTGTGGTCGGTGTTGCTGTTGCGGGGTCCACGCCGCCATTTTGCGGAGCCAGTGGCGCTGCGAGCCGGGCCCAGCGCCAACCAATCAGCAAGCCGCGTGCCGGGTCACGTGCCGCCGCCTGGTCACGCCCCTGCCATGGCAACCGCGAAAATTTGAATTGAGACGTAAACAGAATTAACACGCAGACAACAACAACAACAACAACCGCCATTCGCCACTAAGTGGCGGTGACGTCACCACGACGCTTGTGCCAGGCCAAGTGCACCTTGAGGCCACGTGAAGTGTCGAACGCCCGCTGGCAGGAGGTCACGGGGCAGACCCAGCAGGTGCCACGGGTCGACTGACCGAGATGACCTGAGATGACTGGCTGATGCACCAGCTCTGCCCCCTACTGTACCAACTTGCTGTGCTTTAGCCACCCGGCACTCCGCTCGTTGTTGTGAGCGTCGCTCCTCCGCCCTCCGTTGTTGTTGGAGGACGACTGCCTCCAACTGCCCAGTAGCGTCCTTCACGAGCCTCCTCCACTGAGGCCGATCTTAACACCGCTGGTACCAGTCATCGGCAAGTCCACTCAGCTCCACGTCCTCCTGTACTACATCACTCCATCTCTTCTCCAGCCCGTGCCGCGCCCGTTTAGCCCCCTCGATCCGGCCGAACAAAAGCTGTTTAGGCATGCGGTGGCTGGGCATGCGGGCTACATGACCCAGCCACCGCAGCCTTGCCTGCCGGAGGAGCTCACCGATGGGACTTTGCCCAGATCTTTCAAGGATTTGTGAGCTCCTCACACAATCCAGCCTGGTTAAACCCAGGATGGATCGTAGGCAGGCCAGCCTAAATGTTTCTAACCGGCGAAGATGCTCCATTAGGGGGGTCCACGTTTCGCAAGCGTAGAGAAGGGAGGGAATGACTGGCCTAGAAGATCTGAAGCTTCGTGCGGAGCGACAGACCAGGTAGCTTCCACACAGCATTACGCAACTGATGAACATATATTGCCGCTCGACTGATTCGGAGTGAGACCTCCGCTGCCAAACTGGAGCCGGTCATGAGCACACTGCCCAGTTATGGGAAACTCTCCACTCTCTCCACAACTGCCCCATCACCGATTGGGAGTTGTGGGGGTGGAGTGTCCGATGGTACAAAATACCCAGGCAAGTGCTTAGTTTTGGTGGGGCTGAGGGTAAGGCCCCATCTCTTCGTGGCACACTCCAGTTTCAGCAGAAGCGTCTCTAACTCCTCCTTTGAATGAGCAGCAATTACCAAATCATCGGCATACATAACGTGGTTGACCAATAGGGAGCCATCCCTTGACCGCACCCGGGCATCGATCACCTCCCCATATATCTGTACCAAATGGAAATTCCTCTGGTACAGCTATTGAAGGCTTCACGAACTACGTGGTCAAAATAGATGTTAAATAATGTGGGAGCCAGAGGACATCCCTGTCGCACGCCAAGGTGTACAGGGAATGGCTCTGACTCCCAGCCACGTAGTTTTACCTGGGCCCGCTCACCATCATGAAGGTCCTTAATGATCGTGAGCAAAGGGTCAGGGACTCCGAAAGCACGAAGAACAACCCAGAGCCCAGGCCTAATGATGGTATCATTGGCATTGACCAGGTCAATAAAGCAGAGATGTAGGTCTTGTTGGAATTCCCTACACCTCTGCTGTAGCAGACGGACAGAAAATATGGCATCTGTGCAGGACCGCCCTTTCCTGAAACCGCATTGGGGCTCCGCAAGCCTCTCCTCAGCGTGCCTAGCAAGACGATGTTGAATAATCCTTGCCAGGACTTTTCCCGGCACACTGAGGAGTGAGATGCCCCTGTGGTTGTTACAGTCTGTGCGGTCCCCCGTCTTAAGGAGGGGGACCACCAGGGCATCCTTCTAATCCTGCGGAACCTGTCCAGTGGTCCAGACTGTTATGATGTCATGTAGGGCAGTTTGTGCACAAACGCCACCCTCCCTCAGCATTTCGCTTGGAGATCATCTCTGCCCAGTGCCTTTCCTGGTCTCAGACTCTGGATCGCATTCAGTACTTCCTCAACAGATGGCACCACAGCCAGCCACTCACAGGGGGTGACTTCTTTTTCCAATATTTGAGGCACCGCAGCCTCAGCAGGGTCACCCCACTTCGTGCCACGTTGTTTTCCTGTCTGAGGGATTTCCCCTCCCCCAGGACCTCACAGAACTGCTCAGCAAATCTGCAAACCTGTTCCTGGGGGTCAGAGATTGAAGCACCGTTTTTTCCCCTAATGATGGTAATCGGTGTGGCGCTGCAGGTTATTTTTTTGATGGAGTTAAATAGGGATTTGTGATCACGGGCCACTAAAGCAGACTCCATCTCCTCAGCAACCCGCGACCATCACCCATCCTTGCAGCGCCTCACGGCTCTCCGAATCTCCGAGCGAAGGTTGCGGTAAGCCTCCTCATTCCCTGACGTGGGATGCTGTAGACGATTAGAGTGGGCCTGTCGCTTTTTCTCAACCATCCTAAACACCTCCTCTGTCAACCAGGGTCTCTGGGGAGGTCTGGACTGCGTACCCAATGCAGCCATTGCAGCTGCATGAGTCACAGTCCTAAATCTCGCCCATTTACCCTCGACATCAGGAGTGGGGGACGATGACAACCCCAGCCGCAAGCGATGATTAAATTCTCGCTTGCAACTTTCATCAGCTACCTGAGACCAGGCCACCTTAGGTTGGAATGGGGTCCTGGGTGTACACCCACCACTGGATTGGAAGAATGGCAGGCGCATCTTACAGATGACTAGTAGATGGTCAGAGGGCAGATCAGCTCCACGGTAGGTCCTGGGTGTCAAGGACATGGGCTCGCATCTGCTGGTCTGTCACTACGTAGTCCAGCAGATGTTCTTGCTTGGACCTGGCGTGCATCCATGATGTTGTGTGGATGCGCCAATACCGGAACAGCGTGTTGGTAATTACAAGGCCATGGGCTGCACATACATACACTCACACACAGACAGACATACACTTACACAAACACACAGATATACAGACATACACACACAGACATACAGATATACATACATACAGACATACACTCACAGACAAACAACAACAACCGCCATTCGCCACTAAGTGGCGGTGACGTCACCATGACGCTTGTGCTACGCCATGTGCACCTTGAGGCCACGTGAAGTGTCGAACGCCCGCTGGCAGGAGGTCACGGGGCAGACCCAGGTGCCACGAGTCGACTGACTGAGATGACAGACAAACATACACTCACACACAGCCATACATACATACAGACATACACATCCATACAATCATAGACATACAACCACACTCAAACAATAAGACATACAGCCATACACTTACACATACATACAATCGCACACAGACATACAACCATACACAACCACACAGTCACACATAAACACACAGCACAACAACAAAGACAAAGGACCCCCATAGAGCCTGTTAGGGCAAGTGCTGTTAGCGACCACCTATGAAGGTCGGCACGACACACGAGTGGGTGGGTGACCAGTAACACGCCAGATCGCCTTTGTCTCCCCAGTGGTGACGTTTACACTCTGCACCAGGTACTCATTTGAGGCTGAGTCAACCTAAGGGAGGCCGTGAGCGGGAATCGAACTCGGGTCGCCGGGTTCGTAGCGCAGCGTGTTAACCGCTATACTACCCTTCCCCAATAATCACACAGATATACAGCCCAGCAATCACACAGACATACATCCCAACAATCACACGCTGCCCAACAGTTACACACAGGCACAGCCCAATATTCACACAGACATACACCCCTACAATCACACATACAGCCCAGCTATGACACACAGCCCAACAATCACACAGCTCAATAATGGTATTTATATAGAGCCCAAAAATCACATACAGACAGCTCAGCAGTCACGCATACAGCCGAACAATGTGGTGCAAGGAACAAACACAGCTCTTCTAAATACAACTCTTGACTCATGTCTCCCACCTGATCTTTGTAAATGTTATTTCGCAGACATCTCGAATACACTAGATTTGAGGTGGGAATGTAAATTGAGCTGTCGAGATAAGCGTACACATCGTTCCCCCCTTCCTGATTCTTACGTATTCATTTTCTGTGTAACAGAATATTGCACGTTATTTATTCTGTAGGCTTTACACATTGTGTTTTTCTGTATTCTGGTGGTTCCCAGCCGTTATAGACCCGCTGCCCACTATTAAACCTCCATTAATGTTGTGGAACACCACGTACCAGTAGCATGTTTTCTCAGAATTAAAACTACAGGGCTCTAAAATCATGCCGGAAATTTTTACTGAAAATGCCTTAAAAACTAGTACAGTGTATTGCTTTTATTGTTCACTAATCAATATAATTGTATGATCCCACCGCCTGTTGGCAGAAGTGGAACTGGGCTGCCTTGTACTCAACTAGAAGCGGCAATTTCGGGGTTATGGCTATAAAGTAGTGATTGCCAACAAAACCTTATTTTAAAGCAGCCCTAATTGCCCAACATCGTCCCAGGACGACAGCAGAAATTGGTACCGCTAAAAATACTCATTGAAACCTTATGACTAACGTTTTATTGAAATAGCTAATAAGATTTAAAGCTTTCGTGACTGCAGGAATCCATACTCTTTGGTTCTTTTGGTAAAGTTCCATAGGTAGAAAAATAAAAAAATAAAAATCACCACGTTTTGATCGCAACACAAGCGGTCGTCCTCAGGCAAAAAAAAATCATCCAGCAGTGGAACTGCTGAACGAGCGAGAGAGCTGTTACAACAAGGTTGTATGAAACGTCGTGATATGTTATTTTTGGTTTCATTACATTTTTCTACCTACGTGACTTTACCGAAAGAACCAAAGAGTATAGCTAATAAGAGTGAATTATTTAATAACCAACTTCTGTCATTTCAAATGGCTGTCAAAAATGTCACCATTCTTGGCCAACGTAAATAAAATGGAACCTACCAAAGTTATTGCCACCTTCGCTTTTGGCACCCTACAAGTGAAAATCGTGGTCTGGGCTCGTGGACGAACAGCGCCACTCGCTGTCTGCCCCGTGTGAGGCTTGGGCCAGGCGCGCCGTGCCCCCTCTGGGGAGGGAGCAGCGTGCACGTGGCGGGTCTTGGCCA